AGTCTGTACTCCAGTCCGTACTCCAGTCCGTACTCCAGTCCGTACTCCAGTCTGTACTCCAGTGCGTACTCCAGTCTGTACTCCAGTGCGTACTCCAGTCTGTACTCCAGTCTGTACTCCAGTCTGTACTCCAGTGCGTACTCCAGTCCGTACTCCAGTCCGTACTCCAGTCTGTACTCCAGTCTGTACTCCAGTGCGTACTCCAGTCTGTACTCCAGTCCGTACTCCAGTCTGTACTCCAGTCTGTACTCCAGTCCGTACTCCAGTCTGTACTCCAGTCTGTACTCCAGTCTGTACTCCAGTCCGTACTCCAGTCTGTACTCCAGTCCGTACTCCAGTCTGTACTCCAGTATGTTCTCCAGTCCGTACTCCAGTCCGTACTCCAGTCTGTACTCCAGTCCGTACTCCAGTCCGTACTCCAGTCTGTACTCCAGTCCGTACTCCAGTCTGTACTCCAGTCTGTACTCCAGTCTGTACTCCAGTCTGTACTCCAGTCCGTACTCCAGTCTGTACTCCAGTCTGTACTCCAGTCCGTACTCCAGTCCGTACTCCAGTCTGTACTCCAGTCCGTACTCCAGTCCGTACTCCAGTCCGTACTCCAGTCCGTACTCCAGTCTGTACTCCAGTCTGTACTCCAGTCTGTACTCCAGTCTGTACTCCAGTCTGTACTCCAGTCCGTACTCCAGTCCGTACTCCAGTCTGTACTCCAGTCTGTACTCCAGTCTGTACTCCAGTCTGTACTCCAGTCTGTACTCCAGTGCGTACTCCAGTCTGTACTCCAGTCCGTACTCCAGTCTGTACTCCAGTGCGTACTCCAGTCCGTACTCCAGTCTGTACTCCAGTCCGTACTCCAGTCTGTACTCCAGTCTGTACTCCAGTGCGTACTCCAGTCTGTACTCCAGTCCGTACTCCAGTCTGTACTCCAGTCTGTACTCCAGTCCGTACTCCAGTCTGTACTCCAGTCCGTACTCCAGTCTGTACTCCAGTATGTTCTCCAGTCCGTACTCCAGTCTGTACTCCAGTCTGTACTCCAGTCTGTACTCCAGTCTGTACTCCAGTCTGTACTCCAGTCTGTACTCCAGTCCGTACTCCAGTCCGTACTCCAGTCTGTACTCCAGTCCGTACTCCAGTCTGTACTCCAGTCCGTACTCCAGTCTGTACTCCAGTCTGTACTCCAGTCCGTACTCCAGTCTGTACTCCAGTCTGTACTCCAGTCTGTACTCCAGTCCGTACTCCAGTCTGTACTCCAGTCTGTACTCCAGTCTGTACTCCAGTCTGTACTCCAGTCCGTACTCCAGTCTGTACTCCAGTCTGTACTCCAGTCCGTACTCCAGTCCGTACTCCAGTCTGTACTCCAGTGCGTACTCCAGTCCGTACTCCAGTCCGTACTCCAGTCTGTACTCCAGTCTGTACTCCAGTCCGTACTCCAGTCCGTACTCCAGTGCGTACTCCAGTCCGTACTCCAGTCTGTACTCCAGTCTGTACTCCAGTCTGTACTCCAGTCCGTACTCCAGTGCGTACTCCAGTCTGTACTCCAGTCCGTACTCCAGTCTGTACTCCAGTCCGTACTCCAGTCTGTACTCCAGTCTGTACTCCAGTCCGTACTCCAGTCTGTACTCCAGTCTGTACTCCAGTCTGTACTCCAGTCTGTACTCTAGTCTGTACTCCAGTCTGTACTCCAGTGCGTACTCCAGTCTGTACTCCAGTCTGTACTCCAGTCCGTACTCCAGTGCGTACTCCAGTCCGTACTCCAGTCTGTACTCCAGTCTGTACTCCAGTCTGTACTCCAGTCCGTACTCCAGTCCGTACTCCAGTCTGTACTCCAGTCTGTACTCCAGTCTGTACTCCAGTGCGTACTCCAGTCTGTACTCCAGTCTGTACTCCAGTCTGTACTCCAGTGCGTACTCCAGTGCGTACTCCAGTCTGTACTCCAGTCTGTACTCCAGTCTGTACTCCAGTGCGTACTCCAGTCCGTACTCCAGTCCGTACTCCAGTCTGTACTCCAGTGCGTACTCCAGTCTGTACTCCAGTCCGTACTCCAGTCCGTACTCCAGTCTGTACTCCAGTCCGTACTCCAGTCCGTACTCCAGTCCGTACTCCAGTCTGTACTCCAGTCTGTACTCCAGTGCGTACTCCAGTCCGTACTCCAGTCTGTACTCCAGTCTGTACTCCAGTCTGTACTCCAGTCCGTACTCCAGTCTGTACTCCAGTCCGTACTCCAGTCCGTACTCCAGTATGTTCTCCAGTCCGTACTCCAGTCCGTACTCCAGTCTGTACTCCAGTCTGTACTCCAGTCTGTACTCCAGTCTGTACTCCAGTCTGTACTCCAGTGCGTACTCCAGTCTGTACTCCAGTCCGTACTCCAGTCCGTACTCCAGTCTGTACTCCAGTCTGTACTCCAGTGCGTACTCCAGTCTGTACTCCAGTCTGTACTCCAGTCTGTACTCCAGTGCGTACTCCAGTCTGTACTCCAGTGCGTACTCCAGTCTGTACTCCAGTCCGTACTCCAGTCTGTACTCCAGTCTGTACTCCAGTGCGTACTCCAGTCTGTACTCCAGTCTGTACTCCAGTCTGTACTCCAGTGCGTACTCCAGTCTGTACTCCAGTCCGTACTCCAGTGCGTACTCCAGTCCGTACTCCAGTCTGTACTCCAGTCTGTACTCCAGTCCGTACTCCAGTCCGTACTCCAGTCCGTACTCCAGTCTGTACTCCAGTCCGTACTCCAGTCTGTACTCCAGTCCGTACTCCAGTCCGTACTCCAGTCTGTACTCCAGTCTGTACTCCAGTATGTACTCCAGTCTGTACTCCAGTCCGTACTCCAGTCCGTACTCCAGTCCGTACTCCAGTCCGTACTCCAGTCCGTACTCCAGTCTGTACTCCAGTCCGTACTCCAGTCTGTACTCCAGTCTGTACTCCAGTCCGTACTCCAGTCCCTACTCCAGTCTGTACTCCAGTGCGTACTCCAGTCCGTACTCCAGTCTGTACTCCAGTCTGTACTCCAGTCTGTACTCCAGTCCGTACTCCAGTCTGTACTCCAGTCCGTACTCCAGTCTGTACTCCAGTCTGTACTCCAGTCCGTACTCCAGTCTGTACTCCAGTCTGTACTCCAGTCCGTACTCCAGTCTGTACTCCAGTCCGTACTCCAGTCCGTACTCCAGTCTGTACTCCAGTCTGTACTCCAGTCCGTACTCCAGTCCGTACTCCAGTCCGTACTCCAGTCTGTACTCCAGTCTGTACTCCAGTCCGTACTCCAGTCTGTACTCCAGTGCGTACTCCAGTCCGTACTCCAGTCCGTACTCCAGTCTGTACTCCAGTCCGTACTCCAGTCTGTACTCCAGTCTGTACTCCAGTCCGTACTCCAGTCTGTACTCCAGTCCGTACTCCAGTCTGTACTCCAGTCCGTACTCCAGTCTGTACTCCAGTCTGTACTCCAGTCTGTACTCCAGTCTGTACTCCAGTCTGTACTCCAGTCCGTACTCCAGTCTGTACTCCAGTCTGTACTCCAGTCTGTACTCCAGTCTGTACTCCAGTGCGTACTCCAGTCTGTACTCCAGTCCGTACTCCAGTCTGTACTCCAGTATGTTCTCCAGTCCGTACTCCAGTCTGTACTCCAGTCCGTACTCCAGTCTGTACTCCAGTGCGTACTCCAGTCTGTACTCCAGTCTGTACTCCAGTGCGTACTCCAGTCTGTACTCCAGTCCGTACTCCAGTCCGTACTCCAGTCCGTACTCCAGTCTGTACTCCAGTCCGTACTCCAGTCCGTACTCCAGTCCGTACTCCAGTCCGTACTCCAGTCTGTACTCCAGTGCGTACTCCAGTCTGTACTCCAGTGCGTACTCCAGTCTGTACTCCAGTCTGTACTCCAGTCCGTACTCCAGTCCGTACTCCAGTCCGTACTCCAGTCCGTACTCCAGTCTGTACTCCAGTCCGTACTCCAGTCCGTACTCCAGTCCGTACTCCAGTCCGTACTCCAGTCTGTACTCCAGTCCGTACTCCAGTCTGTACTCCAGTGCGTACTCCAGTCTGTACTCCAGTCTGTACTCCAGTGCGTACTCCAGTCTGTACTCCAGTCCGTACTCCAGTCCGTACTCCAGTCCGTACTCCAGTCTGTACTCCAGTCCGTACTCCAGTCCGTACTCCAGTCCGTACTCCAGTCCGTACTCCAGTCCGTACTCCAGTGCGTACTCCAGTCCGTACTCCAGTCTGTACTCCAGTCCGTACTCCAGTCTGTACTCCAGTATGTTCTCCAGTCCGTACTCCAGTCCGTACTCCAGTCTGTACTCCAGTCTGTACTCCAGTCTGTACTCCAGTTTCAATCTAATTATTGAATTATGTTACCTGGGTATACAGGGTATGTTTTAGTTGCTTAGGTCAATACCATGGCGGGTTTAAGGTCAGTAGAGTATGGAAAATCGCAGCGAGGCACACAACAGGTTCATTTTAAAGATTACCTTACAACAAGAGCACCACCCGACATACTTGCTAAAGATCTCGTTCAGGGATTGGAAATAAATGCGGTGAAACTAAAAATTAATAAGAAATCTCTGCGAAATGAGATTCGATTGTACAATTCCGATTATATCATAAGCATGGGTATTGGGTCATTATCAAATAGTAATGATACCAGGTATTCGGGAACAGGTGAGCGTATCCTGCCCCACCGATGACACCCGTCACAAACACATGCAAAGGCAAATCAATGTGCACGGGAAAGTCAAAATAGGGAATTGCATCGGACATTATTTTTGTCACTGGTGCGTTAAATTTCGAAATATCCTCCACGTGTCTTTCAAACGTTTTGATAGCTTTAAGTAGGCCTTGAATGTTGTAACCTCCAACAACTGAGCAAGAGTCACATGACGCTCTTGGAAAGTTGACTGTCGGAAAGATGAAGTCATCCTTCTTGAGTGTTTTGTCAATCTGAATCTTTATGCGGGATGTGAAACGGTTATGCTGTTATTTAAGATACATTTAACAAAAGCGAAACATACATTATCAGGTAGATTTTAGGTTTTAATATATTCAGAAACTGCTACATCTTTCGGGCGGACACTCAACATCTGTCTATCTGAAGAGCTTGTCATACTTCTTGACAAACACTCTGTATGAGAGATTGTCCACCATCCGCCCGGTACGTTTCTTCTGCTGAAAGTACATGTACTTGAAGTCCTTCTGGGTCCAGATGTTGTTCGTGCCGGTAGCCTCGATGTCCAACAGCTGGCGGATCTTCTTGGTGATGCACTGAAGAGTGAGTGAGTGAGTTTGATTTTACGCCGCTTTTAGCAATATTCCAGCAATGTCACGGCGGGGGACACCAGAAATGGGTTTCACACATTGTACCCATGTCGGGAATCGAACCCGGGTCTTCGGCGTGACGAGCGAACGCTTTAACCACTAGGCTACCCGGCCGCCCCTATGCACTGAAGAAACGAAGTCATGGGGTCTATAGGTAAATTTGTTTGTTTGTTTGTTTGTTTGTTTGTTGTTAAACGCCGCACTCCGTGGGTAAAATGACAACCCCATATGCTCCTCAAGATGAGTGAGTGAGTGAGTGAGTGAGTATGGTTTTACGCCGCTTTTAGCAATATTCCAGCAATATCACGGCGGGGGACACCAGAAATGGGCTTCACACATTGTACCCATGTCGGGAATCGAACCCGGGTCTTCGGCGTGACGAGCCAACGCTTTAACCACTAGGCTACCCGACCGCCCCTCCTCAGGATGAGCAATTTGCTACTGATCATAAATTATGAAATATTTTTGATAGCACCTGTGGTTTGTTTGTTTGTTTGTTTGTTGTTTAACGCCGCACTCGGCAGTATTCTAGCTGTATCACGGCGATCTGTAAATGATCGAGTCCGGACCAAACAATCCAGTGATTGATATCAGAAGCATCGATCTACGCAATTGGGATACGATGACATACACCAACCAAGTCAGCGAGCCTGACCGCCCTATCCCGTTTGCGCCTCTAACGACAAGCACAGTCGCCTTTTACAAGCATGGTTGCTGAAGACGTATTCTAACCCGGATGTTCACGGGTTTAGGGCCCTAGAGCATGGTGTTTTGGCAGTTGATTGTTATAGTATCGTAGACCTGTTTCTTACAATAGTGTATGCAAGGTCAGCTGACTAAATGGGTCTTTAAAGGACTTTATACACTGTCACGTGAACTAATATAATTGTCTTACAGCAGGTCAACTATGTAAGGTCGTATATACGAGAACATATTACTAAAAACACTGACCAGGATGTCCTCGAACTTCAATACACCCATCCGGGGTAGCGAGGAGGCGTGCACACAGATCAGCTTACGGCCGTTGATGAAATTGCGGCGGAAACATTCCTGAAATAAAAACGTACATCTGGAGAGGTGAGGCGAGGCGAAATGGGGTTTAACTCACCAAGTGACCCGATCTACAATAAACTGGTGCTAAGCATAGCTGAGTTATGCCCCCTTTTCTTGTTACGTGTGTAACCTCTCTGTCGTCTTTTGACGTCAAAGAGGGAAATCAGTTTCCGTCATTTACGGAAGGTTATTTTATGTATTGAAAGTATAACGTTATACATATATATTTATGTCCTGCAGAAATTTGGCAGGATTTTGTTCCCTCACAGTTCCCATAAAGCTGCAAAATAAAATTACAAATGCATTTGAAAAGAACACACAGGCAATGTTTTTGAAAGTATATAGTTGATTAACTTTGCATTTGAAGAATATATAAACATGTTGAAATATTTAACGCCATAGCAGTTTGTTCAATACTTATTGATGAAATTGACGGTAGTACTTTTTTATATTTTGACTATGAAATGAATGATTTTGTCGGAAAGCAAGTCTCACTAGCGGGGCTAATTGTATCCAATTATGATGTCAATCAAAGAGTGAGTGAGTATGGTTTTGCGCCGCTTTTAGCAAGTTTCCAGCAATATCACGGCAAGGGACACCAGAAATGGGCTTCACACAATGTACCCATGTCGGGAATCGAACCCGTGACGAGCGAACGCTTTAACCACTAGGATACCCGACCGCCCTGTCAATCAAAGAAAAAATTGAAATAAAATGGCGGGGTTGGAGTGTGTAGTCCTTAGACCATCAAACTCACCGCCCCTACCCCCTATGATAAACGACCAGTCACTTAACACGACATACAATTTCACCTTGTAGAGAATATACAAAATTGTTTTTACAGAAAATATTACAATGCTATAATGCACAAAGCTGGAATGTTTACAAAGTTAAGATTTGCCTGTTTGTTGTTCAGCTCAGCGATATTCCATCTAAATGACGATGACCTGTACAAAATTGAGTTTGGATTTCACAAAGCAGTGATTGAAAGTATCAGCCACGTCCCATACCGACACGCAATTACAAAAAGGGGACCAGCCTGACCACCCAATCCACTGAGCCGTAGATTACAACCAGCACAGGTTGCTGGGGATATATTCTGAACGATTTGTTTGTTGTTTAACGCCACACTCAGCAATATTCCAGCTATATGACGGCGGTTTGTAAATAATCGAGTTTGGACCAGACAATCCAGTGATTGATATCATGAGCATCGATCCGCACAATTGGGATCGATGACATGCATCAACCAAGTCAGCGAGTCTGACCTCCCGATCCCGTTAGTCGCCTCTTACAACAAGCATAGTCGCCTTTTACGGCAAGCATGGGTTGCTGAAGACCTATTCTACCCCGGATCTTCACGAGTCATATTTTAGCATCAGTGAGTGAGTGTGTTTGATTTAACACCACTTTTAACAGTATTCCAGTTATATCACGGCGTGTCAGCTTAATGTGGGAGGAAAGCCCGAAGTGATGCAGGTCTTAGACGTTTACCACGAGCGCGGGTATGGTGCTGACAAACCTAGAAACATTATCGGGGCGAACCGGGGTTCGAACCCAAAATCATTGTTTCCTGGCGTGTCCAAGGGACGCAACTCTGCACAGCGAATTGCGGCGCCTTAGACGATTGGACCACCCGTGCCCTCTATTTTAGCATCAGGTAGGAAGATGTATAAAGTCTGGTTCAATTACAAGAGTTTGCTTTCTACACCAGCTATAAGATGTATAATGTTATCCTCCAATCTTATCTAGTTGAGTGTTTTACCTTGTACAGAGGGAAGCCTATCTCCTCCACCCAGTCGGCCACCTTGTCCACATCCCAGTACAAACACGGAGCAACGTTTGCCTTCCTGTCGGAAGCTACAACTTTATAATTGTTGTACGACCTGTACATCTCGTCCACTAGCACGCACGAAATGCACCTGATTGTGACGTCATTAAGCACAATGACGTCACGTTTCTAATCTACCACATACCATTCGTGACCAACTCGTGTTATTCCGGGACAAGCCGAATAGCGACTCGTGCCCCTCTCGTGGCCATTTTTGCGACCGGGTTCCGTCTTAGCGCAAACGGGCTTACCTAAAACAATTGTCAATTCGTTGCGCAATGGTTCACATATATTTCCCCATATATTATTTATATATCAGATGCAATTTAAAGCACATCAGGACATGCGAAATTATACAGTATGATTGAACACATTTAACTGTGTCTGGGGTATTTTTAGATGCAAGACATATGTAAAAACAGAAATTATTTCTGAGGGATTCTTTGACGAAGAACTTGAAATTCTGATTGGTTTGTCGTATTTTCGCACATAACATTCATCGATAGGGGGACGAGTCTTCTTGCAGGTTACGGAAAGGGGCGAGTGGTGACGAGTGACCACATACATGTAATATGTTCGGTCTTTTCGTATTTATTTTTGTAGCAGATAGGCGATCCAATACTGTGTGCTTTTATTGCGAAATTATTTTTTCCATTATAACATTATTTATAAGTATATCCTACCACTTTCTTAATAATTGGCATTAAAAATGAAACGTGTTTTTTTTAGAATTATATACAAAATGTAAATGGTGTAAAAAATATAGTGATCACGTTTTGGTAATGAAACTACACCACATATGCAATCTTCATCGTTCTCTCATTTGCAGGGGCGGTCTGGTAGCCTAGTGGTTAAAGCGTTCGCTCGTCACGCCGAAGATTCCCGACATGGGTACTATGTGTGAAACCCTTTTCTGGTGTCCCCCGCCGTGATATTGCTCGAATATTGCTATAAGCGGCGTTAACATATTCACTCACACACACTCTCATTTGCAATAGCCTTTTTGTTGTATCTAATTATTGATTTGTGTGTCGCTCAGTGCAGGCATTGACTATGATGAAAGATAAGTAAATGGTAACCGTACGGCGTGGACGATTCTAAATTGTGCATCTCCACCTACCGCTTTGGCAAATGAAATCATAAAAAGCGTGAATATAGAAAAAGTGAGTTTTTATTGTATCATTGGTAATCTTTCGGCCATGTAACGTTGGAAATAACTGAAGACAATTTCCAAGGACCCTTAAATGAAAGAATGTCAATGAAAAAATGATAGAATCCAATGCACGGCTGTCTAGCGTCGATCCCTGTCCAGCACACTAGCAGAATTCAAATATTAGTTAAATACGATTGTATTTAGAGTGGTGTCCCTTTATCTATCGCCCCGCCCCTCATGAATATTCGGCTTTCGTCGTATTCAATCTTCCCAAATCAAAGTAATAGTGTGGATAATAAATAAAGTGCCCATATATTGTGTCATATTCTTTTCTAAAACAATGTTAATTACACTTAATTAAAATGCACCGCAACATATAATTATCGTATAAAGGTGTAAATGTTACTTACTCGTCTTTTTCCGGAATCTAATTTTAGCTTTCGCGGGAAAATTCTCGCGCCAAATTCAGCACGTGAACACAACAAAGCGCAGTGACTGATCAACCTGTTGACAGAACTTACAATCATGGCAGGTTTTGATGATGCTGGAATATTTTACAGTGATAACTTCGGTTCAGAAGATCAACCAGATGAAGGCCAAATCAACAGGACGCAAGTGAAGAAACGATTTAAGGATTTCATCCGACAGTTTCATGAGGGCAACTTCTCCTATCGTTACCGGTAAGATGGTATACTGGTGAGAAAACTAAACTAACCTGTTGAGTATTGCCAACTTGTGTATATTTGTTGATCGATCTTAGATTTCATTAACGAAACCATTAATTAAGCGTGTATCTGTGAAATGGTATTTAAACTGATTAGGCCTTATGTGATTGTAAAATCCCACCTATGCGACACCAGATCGTGTGGATTTTATGTAGCTGTGATCATTTTGGTTTCATAGAATATGTCGGCCACGGGGTGTTTATACTGAGTTAACAGCATCTTTAAATTCAAGCAATAAGATTGTTTTATAGCTTTGCTAAACCATACAAAAAAGCTGCGGCTATATATGACATTGATCTTACTATTTGTGTTAAAATGAAAAAATAAATAACATTAAACATTCAGGGATAGTTCTAGGTTTGGCCTTATACTTTAAGCCCTTAAATTGGGAAAAAAGGTCCTCATTTTCAAATACAACGGGGCATATTAACATTGTGCTGAATGGGTGTACCTCTAGAATATTTGAGATTTTCACATGAAGGACCCATGGAAAAAAATCCTTGAGTGAACCCTGAATATTTACATATCCCCCCCCCCCCCCCCCCCCCGGCATATAATGCAGGGGGATATAGCGACCAGCCAGTCCATCTGTCCGTCCGAAATCATTTCCTTTGCCGGGGCAGAATTCCAAAACCATTCAGTGTATTTGATCGAAACTTGGCAAATCTCTATCAGGCACATACTGAAGTGGTGCCTTTTGATATTTTGGAATTTTTCTCCTTTTTTTAAATTTTTTTTTTATGGAATGAAGTTGGACATAGACTCCATTGGGGAACGGGTTCGTTTCCGGGCCAGAATTCGAAAACCATTCAGTGGGTAAACAATGTATGCTTCTTAAAGAACATTCAACTGTTGACTCATTACATACAGAATTGCACATTTACTAGTGGTTATTTTACAGACAGTGGCGGGGGGGGGGGGGGGATATGTCATCTTTCTGATGACTCTTGTTTGTTACTGCCAGAAGCGATAGTGGTTACAACGTTATATATTTGAGGCATTATCATGATTTCCTTGTGTGATTTTCAGAGACCAGCTGAAGAGACATTACAACCTTAAGCATTACTGGCTGGACATTGACTTGGACGATGTTCGTAGTTTTGACGAGACTCTTGGTGATAAACTTCTCAAGCAGCCTTCTGAACATCTTCCTTTGGTAAATATCCAATGTGTTGTCATTGTATTGTGTGTACTTTACATTGCATATACTGATTCTTGTAACCACAATAGCTGCAGATTAACAATGTGCCCGAATTCCTGGTCTGCCACCTATGGGGAAGTCTCGGTATGCTTATTTCCTGAATTCGAAGTAAATTTAGTGAGTGAGTTGGGATCAACTCTGCTTTTAACAGTATTCCAGTTATATCACGGCGTGTCAGCTTAATGTGGGAGGGAAGCCAGAAGTGATGCAGGTCTCGGACGTTTACCACTTCGGTGAAACCCACGAGCACGGGTATGGTGCTGACAAACCTGGAAACGTAATCGGGGCAAGCCGGGATTTGAACCCACAATCATAGGTTTCTGGTGTGCACAACGAATTGCAGCGCCTTAGACGACTGGGCCACCTGTGCCCCCACAAGTAAATTGTACGCAAAGACTGCTGATGCCGTGCACAGCTGATTTGCTATGGCGGGCGTCTGTGGCTCTGGCTTATCTTATCTTGTGTGCCTATTCAATCCTTATGTTCAGTGTGTGTTGGGGTAGGTTTATCCTTAGCCCTTCCATTCTTTTTGTCCATGACATACCCTTTTACTGTCTTTAGAATTAGGTATTCCCTTCTGATCAAACACTCCTTCAGTGAAATCAGGGGAAATTCAGTGAATTATTTGCAAGTTTAGAATTCCTTGGGTAAAATGACAACAACATATTCACCTCAAGATGAGCAATTTGCTGCTGATCATAAATTATGAAATAGTTTTGATAGCACCTGTGGTTTGTTTGTTTGTTGTTTAACGCCGCACTCAGCAATATTCCAGCTATATGTCAGCGGTCTGTAAATAATCGAGCCTGGACCAGACAATCGAGTCATTGACATCATGAGCATTGATCTACACAATTGGGATTGATGACATGCATCAACCAAGTCAGCAAACCTGACCACCCGATCCTGTTAGTCGCCTCTTACGACAAGCATAGGTGCCTCTTATGGCAAGTATCGGTTGCTGAAGACCTATTCTACCCCGGATCTTCATGGGTCAGCACCTGTGGCTAATTAAGTCGCTAGTTTAGATTCAAGGTGTTTAAACCCCTGCAGTGTGCTAATCATGCTAATTGAAATCCGAAACAGTGGTATGGACCGTTATAATGTCAATGATGACGGCATTGTGGCGCAGCAGTGGTTTTCCAGTGATAGTCACATTTACCTTTTATAGGTGAGGTGAAATGGGGTTTAACGTCGCGTCCAAGATTATTGCACTTATATCGCGACGTGCATGCACGTGTGTGTGCATGTGTGTGTGTGTGTGGCTGCTTGTACTAGACCGGACTGATGCCGATTTATAGTGCTAGCTCACTGAGATACAATGCCGCAGTTTAACATGAACATCCCACTCAGACACAGTATACTGACTCCGAGCCGACCAGTCCTTGTTTTAGCCCCTTAATGTCGAGCGCCAGACAGGGTAACAACAAGTACCATCTTTTAACGTCTTTTGGTATGACACGGTCGGGAATCGAACCCGGGCCTTCCGCTCTCCGGGCGGACGCTCTACCACTAGACCACGGAGATGGTCTTACCTTTTATAATCCATGGTTGCATAATAACGTTTTATCACATCAGGTGTTTTTAAGAAAGAGAAGTGTTCAGATTTTCCTGATTTTTATTTATAGTTTGAGGATGCTGCCAAGGAGGTCGCCGATGAGGTGACCCGACCCCGACCTGAGGGAGAAGAGGAGGTCGAGGATATTCAGGTCATGCTGACGTCCTCTGCAAACCCATGCTCAGTGCGAGAACTCAAGGTACAGATTACTGCAGCCCTGCTTCCAGAATTGTTGGAACTGTAGCTAAAATCTTCCCAAGTCCAGGGAGTTCACTGACTTCAAAAGTCCAGTTTCTATCCTTGTCTAACTAGGCTGGAATTTTTACTGAATTACATTTTGGCTTAACTAACGAGTCTATGCATAGGCCAATGTTTTCAAATCTTGTCATATTTTTTATCTATGTGCTCAAGTGATTTGATGCACTTTGCTCCGTAGGACCTGTTTTATTACAGTAAAGATCTTGATAATGCATCAGAGCGTCTTGACTGGGCGCCTCAATTTTGTTTGAAGCAGATGCAAGGGATATGAGAGGTGGAATCTGATTCGTCAGTAGGCAAACAGAAGGGACTCATTATTGCCACTGGTGGCGCTACATTCGAGCCACGAAATTCCAGCCTTGTCAGGCAAGGGTGGAAATAGGACTTTTATAGTCAGTTAACTCCCTTGCCTCTGGAGGATGATATTTTGTGAGGAATGAATGACTAAATATACATTTTGATATTCGTGACCAACTCGTGTTATTCCGGGACAAGCCGAATAGCGACTCATGCCCCTCTCATGGCCATTTTTGCGACTGGGTTCCGTCTTAGCGCAAACGGGCATACCTAAAATAATTGTCAACTCGTCGTGCCATGCACAGGAGTCCGTATCTAAAAATAGACGCCCTCATGCATATTCATGACCATCCAGATGGTCATGAATATGCATGAGGGCGTCTATTTTTAGATACGGACTCCTGTGCGTTATGGTTCACATATATTTCCCCGTATATTATATATATTTCAGATGCAATTTAAAGCACATCTGGACATGCGGAATTATACAGTATGATTGAACACATTTAACTGTGCCTTGGGTATATTTTTAGATGCAAGACATATGTAAAATCAAAACTTATATCTGAAGGATTCTTTGACAAAGAACTTGAAATCATATGCGCATTCTGATTGGTTTGTCATATTTTGGCACATAACATTCATCGATAGGGGGACGAGTCTTCTTGCAGGTTACGGAAAAAGGCGAGTGGTGATGACTGACATTTTAAGTGACAAACTTTCATGCATTAAAAGAAGTTCTGTTGATAGCTTTTGTTTTGCTTGTCGTATCTATATGAGAAGTGATGCAGCACTGACGACATGTGTTTCAGTCGGAACAAGTGTCCTCGCTGGTGAAGATTCCTGGGATTGTTATTGCTGCCTCGACGATCAGGGCCAAGGCAATTCGACTGGCGATACAATGTCGTGGTTGCAGCAACGTCATGAACAACATTGCAGTTAAACCTGGCCTGGAGGGATATGCTTTGCCGAGAAAGTGCAACACGTAAGTTCAGCCTTTGAACAATCCAGAGCTGAAGATAAGCTGCGTATCTGCGTATAATACGCATCAGAAATGCAGAAATATGCAGTAAAATATAATCCAAGCGTATCAAATACGCAACGAACATTACAGATACGCTACAAAAGTAAAACTTGTGCATATCATCAAAATATTGTGAAGTAACCCTGCGTATTCGTTTAGCAAATCAGCAACTTATTTTAAAATTAATAACGGGCATTCCGTCAACCTTGCCAAACTCCACGATGACAGTTACATCATGATCATTTGCCATCACACTTTCTTTTGGAAGTATTGTGGTATTTTTGAGTCCTATAAAGCTCTCGAACCCACACAACACCAGTTTGCAGGGACTAGATGAATAGAGTTTTTAAATATTTAATCTTAATACCCACATGTGTAAAAACTAGTGGGTAACAGAAATTTGAATACCCAGATAGAATTACTGATACCCAATGATTTAAAAATGCATGGGTAAAATACCCACAACACCAAAAGCTTATCTGGAGCTCTGCAATCTCATTACGATTAGGTGTTAGTGCTTGCTTCCACTACATGTAGATCTACCCGTGAAGATTCCGGGGTAGAATAGGTCTTCAGCAAGCCATGCTTGCCGTAAAAGGGAACTATGCTTGTCGTAAAAGGCGACTAACAGGATTGGGTGGTCAGGCTCGCTGACTTAGTTCATGCATGCAGTGTCTGCTCTGGCTTAAATTTTCTTGGGGTCACTTGGACCCCTTCATCATAAAATTAGGGGTCCCAAACAAAAATGAAGGGGTCTAATTTATAGCATTATAACATAACATTAACAACAGAACACAGTGGTTGTGAAAAATAAGAAATCTTTTCGCAACTGCAAAATATCAACAAACAGGCAAAGTGAGAGAAAGGTTCACATCAGGGCACATCCTGCTCTCATAACCAAGAGGTTTACATTAAGGGACAAACAATTTCTTAAAAGGGACATTTGATATTAATGAATATTATAACACAAAATTATCCATGTTAATATCTAACTTCGTATATGAAAAGGCAGTACACGGGTCAGCCATTGGTGAGGGGTCATTGTGACAGACATTTGTGAATGTTTTTACCGAGATCTACCAATGATTTGAAGTTTTGGATTCAGTTAAGTTCAATGGCTGTTCTGATGCTACTGTACTGAGTATTGAGTTCATGTTGTAACTGTGACAATGATCAATGAGTCATAAAATATAATTGGCATATCAAACGCTTATTTAGTAAGAGCATGTTCAGGATCCAGCATTTCCTTGATAAATCTAGTCAACATGTTTCAGGTGCTATAAATGTTTAAACATGTCAGTTACACCAATAACGGTCCTGGCAAAATGTGTTTTGCAATTCTTAATATGACTCACAAGATATTGAATTATTATCAGCTTGATAAGTCTGTTGTAGAATAACTAAATATTCAGAGTCCGCTAAATAAAAACAATGCTTACATCATTGTACATTCAAGTGTTCGCATTCATTCTTTATCATATACAGTATCGCGGTATTGATAAATCTCGTAATCCACACAACCTGTCGACTGTTTACTTATGCAAATCTAAGCACGATATATTTCATCGCATGATCGAATACAGGACTCGTTGCGGTATGTCACGGCTACTTGTACACACGTTAACTTTTTTATGACAGTTCCTGGGATGTTTTTGAAGTGGAATTACCCCTTCCTCCAATCAAAATTGATTAGAAAAAGAACCCATTTGTTCAAACGAAGTCCCTTGACCAAACCTCGGTCGTATGCAAAATTCAAAACAGGAAGTGATATACCATATAATCCACACAGCCTTACTTACTGCGGTAAGATTCACCAATGACAGGTACTTTGTTTACCGAACTCGGTAAAGAAAATCAGCATCAATCAATCCAATGAACAACAAACATTTTGTGAATCACATATTTAATAAGTTTGTAAGCGTGCCCCACTACGATCCATTATAAATTAACTACCGCGATAACATAGCGTATCATCCTACACGGTCGCTCGATTTCGCGGGTCACTGTTACCACGTTCTGAAGTATACCCTGGCTATTTTTAGTTTGACACAAGGTCAGGATATTTTCGACCAATCAGCAAGCTAAATTAATTACGAATTTATCCGACTTGCTTAATATGTGGCACCTGATTGGCTGAAGCAAAGCTACGGACCATACCGAAAATTAATACATGCAAAACCGACAATAGATATACGTCAAGAAACCGGTTTGGGTATTTGTCATAAAAAGGGAGAGAATAATGAAACTGGTTTGGTTTAGCAAACGGAAGTGTTAATCAACATGCTTCGCTGTCTTGTTTGGCAACAAATACCTTTACGCAAAGACGTACGTCTTTGATTTACGATAACAGTGTCAATTCAATATGAAATTAATATAGCCCCAGTCACTGCGTCCACGAGACCCACACGTTACGCAGGTGCGTTCAAACTTATTTTTGTGCGTCCAAGACGCAAAAACGCGCTCTTCAGCCAACACTGTGCATGTCATCGATCCCATTTGCGTGGATCGATGCTCATGATATCAATCACTGGATTGTCTGTCCAGACTCGATTATTTACAGACCGCCGTCATATAGCTGGAATATTGCTGTGTGTGGCGTTAAACAAAAAACCAACCAAACCAACCAACATGTAGAGGACATCCCATTACGAACGAATGAAATGAAACAAGAAGTCACCATTAGCCATTCCGCAAGTTTCAAACTGGCACTAAAAAGTTCATTACTGCTGTGAGTTGCTATACATCTGTATGTATGAATTGTCTCCCTTGGATGCTGTAGAAAGTATTATTTGCTGTGTACAAAATTGATGGAGTTACTGATTTTTTTACCCCCGACCTAAAAGGTATATATAGTCATATATGCCAAAGTATTCCGTCCGTCCTTCTGAGGACATTTTTTGTGTGCGGCCCATTATTTGAAAACTACTGCATAGATTCTTATCAAACATGGTGAAGACTTTTTTACACCGATAGGAGAGGTGCACTGACAAGTTTCATTTTGATATTTGGATTTTCTGAAAAAATTTCACTAATTCATTCACTTTTTTACTTAGAACGTTTTGCTGAAACATTTGTGCAACCAATAACTTAAAAACCTGTATGGATTCTTTTCAAATTTAGTGAACAGTTTACATACAAATAAAAGAGGTGCATTGCAAAGTTTGATTCTGATATGTGGAATTTCTGAGAAAATGTGAATTTTTACATGTTTTGAACTTGGAATGTTTGTTTACCATGCTTACCTCAACATTTGTCCGACCTATAACTTGAACTACTTCATGGATTCTTTTCAAATTTAAAGAACACTATACTAGTCTAAAAAAAATAATAGTCTTCGTTCTCGGGCACCAACTGCATCATCATAAAGTCTGCCGCACGTTTTATTTTTATTTCCATTTTCAAAAAAATATAAAAATCCTAATACTTAAACACATTGCACCAAAAAAAATTGAAAATGTGAACAAAACAAAACATGCAATGAACTTTATGATGTGGGCAGTGCCTGAGAACCAAGACTATTATTTTTCTTGGCCCTAATAGGAGAGGTGCAGTGCAAAGTTTGATTTTGATTTGTGTATTTTCTGAAAAAAAATATTTTCATGTTGGACTGAGAAATATGTTCAATTATGTCTTGCTTCTGAGTGTATTGGGACGGTCGGGTAGCCTAGTGGTTAAAGCGTTCGTTCGTCACGCCGAAGACCCGGGTTCGATTCCCGACATGGGTACAATGTGTGAAGCCCATTTCTGGTGTCCCCCGCCGTGATATTGCTGGAATATTCCTAAAAGTGGCGTAAAACCATGCTCACTCACTCTGAATGTATTGGAAACTTGTGACCCCCTGAATCTTTCTATCAATGTTCTTGAGTAATTTTGTGGCCAGAGACGTAGATGAATTCAGAGACAATGACTTGTGTTTCAGTGACCAGGCAGGGCGGCCGAAGTGTCCGATCGACCCGTTCTTCATCATCCCAGACAAGTGTCGTTGTGTGGACTTCCAGGTGTTGAAGCTGCAGGAGACGCCAGAAGCTGTACCTAACGGTGAAATGCCCCGCCATCTGCAGCTGTACTGTGACAGGTGAGCAGACATCTTTCAGCAGCTGGATGTGAACGTATTGAGTGAGGGTTTCACTGAAAAGGGAAGAGGGGTTTAACATTGACAGGAAGAAACTAATTTTATGATATAAAGTGAAATTGAAAAGCCAGTTTTGTTTGTTGTTTAACACCGCTTTCGGCAATATTCCAGCTATAATATGGCGGTCTGTTAATAATCGATTCTGGACCAGACTATCCAGTGATTGACATCATTGAGACACGATGACATACATCAACCAAGTCAGCGATCTTGACCACCCGATCCTGTTAGTCGCCTCTTACGACAAGCATAGTCACCTTTTACCATGTTTACAGCAAGCAAGGGTTGCTGAAGACCTATTCTACCCCGATCTTCACAGGTCTCAAAGGCCAGTTATATCTGTTGTGTGGATTCCACAACCATATCGTTTTTGGTTGGGATTATAAAATGTTGACTAGTGCCAGTATTCATTATTGGAGTAATAAAAATTATTTTGAATTTAGCATGTTTCAAAGCCAAGTGGAATGTGATTATGTGTGAGTTGCGTTCTTGGTGAGCTATTCGAGATATGAATTGTGGATTTGTGTTGCAGGTATCTCTGTGATCGTATCGTCCCTGGCAACAGGGTAACAGTGATGGGGGTCTACTCTATCAAGAAGAGTTTTAAACCAGCAAAGGTAAGAAGATATGGCCTCTTAATGAATTTGATGCAAAACTGCTTCTTACACAATGTTAAACCTAATTAGCACATGCTGACTTGGGTTATGTGTAGTGATCTTATACAGTTGCTGTGTGTTTTGTAAACAAATTCTTGTTGACTAGTGCAAACACCCAGAAAGCTCCAATTTACCTTGTGGTGACCAATTTTGTAATATGATGGCAGTGTCTGAAACTCCGAAGAGTAAACTGAGAGCCTTAGGCTAAAAAACGTAAGTCTTGCTTCTCAGGCACTGCCCACATCATCAAGTTCATTGCCTGTTTTGTTTTTGTTTACATTTTCAATATTTTTTTGTGCATTGAGTTTAAGTATCAGGATTTTTACATTTTTTTAAAAATGGAAATAAAAACAAAATGTGCGACAGACTTTATGATGATGGGTGTGGTGCCTGAGAACCAAGACTATTATTTTTTTAAAGCCTTAGGGCTAGCACATTTAAAAAACTGTGAGCTAAGTGGAAACACTGTAGGCCCAAACATTTTAACTGAAACAGGGAGACCTTATAATATAAATTACAAAACACAACCCGTCGACCAGAAGCTTTTTTCCCAGAGACTCCTTGGTGATAGATGAAGCCTATATTTATCCAAAAATTATCGGCTTTTAAAACATCTTTTCGCTTCATGTCATTTAAAGGTCTAATCCTTCTGTTTATAAATACGAAAGTTACGTTTATCATATTACTTAAATAATGCTCAATAAATATCTTAAATAAACTGTAGGCCATATGAGCCTGCTGAAATTTGGAACTATCAGCCCAAGCCCAACAGGCCGAACACTGTATGATAGCCAATGTTATCGATGTTATCAACCAACCTCCTGAATATGCAAGTGTGTTGTTCTCTGTTGGTGTTATGGTTTTCATCAAAGGTTGTTTGTCAAGTGTTTGTTAAATTATTTTTTTGGGATCAAATTTGGGATTTTTTTTTTAAGGTTATTGTTAAAATTATTAACAAGGTTTGGCCTCTAAGGTTTAAAGAGTAGTTTCCTTTGACCCTTAACATCAACAGTTGTAAGTGTCAAGTTTTCATTTTGACATGTGATATGAATACCAGATAGTGTTTAATTTTTGGCATAATAAATTCATTATGGCGTCTTTAGTTGCCATATACGGTGTCAGAAATATAGAAATATTGATCCCATTATTTTTCTGCTAACCTAATGAGACTGTATTCAGCAACTAAATTACACCCAGCCCAATATTTTTCTGCTAACCTAATATGACTTCATATAGGGCAACTAAAGACGGCAAAACTAATAATATTTCGTCATGCTGGTGATGGGAGGCGCGTGTGGCCTAGCCATCTAAGGCGCCACAATTCGCCGTGCACAGTTGCATCCCTAATGGATGCCTGAAACCTATGATTGTGGGTTCGAATCCCGGTTCGCCCCGATTATGTTTCTAGGTTTGTCAGCACCATACCTGTGCTCGTGGGTTTCGTGGTAAACGTCTGAGACCTGCATCACTTCGGGCTTTCCTCCCACATTAAGCTGACACGCCGTGATATAACTGTAATACTGTTAAAAACGGCATTAAAGTTTAACCCAACTCACTCATTCATGCTGGTGATGAAAGATAGTTGTATACACTTATGTGCCAACTGCTGATGTTTTTTGTCTGCAGGGTGGCGCCAGAGATAAGGTGAATGTTGGAATACGGATGCCATATTTCCGTGTAGTGGGCATCCAGGTGGACACGGATGGAGCGGGTCGGACCGCACTCAACCCACTCACCCCTCAGGAAGAGGAGGAACTCCGCAGGCTCACCAAGACCCCCAACATCTTCGAGACCATTGCCAAGAGCATAGCGCCATCCATCTGGGGCAGTGCAGACATCAAGAAGGCTATTGCGTGTCTACTGTTTGGAGGTTCCAGGAAGAAGTAAGAACTTTGGCGTTGTGCTTCCTGGCCTTGTGTGAAAAAACTACTTCCACTAACACAACCAGACCATTATTCCACGAGAAAGTCTGAAAATTTGTATCACATTCGTATCGAGCCAAAATATAATTTTTTATCTGATTCTAAACTATGTGCCCTTGGTCAGGTAAATTTGGAAAAATATTTTTTTATATATTATCCTGCATTCCTCCTTAACATGCTTAACCCTTTCGCCCCGACTGCCCGATTTATCGGGCAGGATAAACCGTGTCCCAGGACCCGGCTGCCCGAAAAATCGGGCAGCATAAGCCGAGGCCCAGAACCCGGCTGCCCGATAAATCGGGCGGCGCGAGCGTGTTTACAAAATCGCTCTTTCTACTTCCTTTCTCGTGTGTAATCTCGTTCTAAATATGGAAACGAGATCTACACGTATTGACACGTCATTCGATGGAATTTCCCCGTCTTTTTGGCGCGAAAATCGCGGGTATGTCACCTGTTTTCGCGACAGGTATTTTTCTCGCTTGAATCGTAAATCAAGCGTAATGGCGGCCAACTACGATTCGGATAGCGATCAGATGATTAACAACGACTATATCGGGAATAATAATGTGTTTGAATTGAATAATTTACGCGAAGGGGAGAGGGAATTTCGCGAATATTTTCGTGAAGATTTTGACGGTTTCGACGAGGTGTCCCCCCCCGCCAACTTTCGAGAATGGGAGTGGCAGAGGGACACACGACAGTGGAGACATGTGGGATTTTGAAGAGGCGACCGGATTCAAGAATATATATTGACACGGTGAGTGAAGAGTCGTGCTATTGATTTTTTCCAACTGTTTTACAATGATTCTGTGTTTGAACAGATTATCAGTGCGACGAATGAGAATGCAGCCTACACGTGAACGAGCGATCACAACAACAACAAAGGTGAGTGGCATGACGTATGTTTCTTTTTTTTTAAATTTATTTTTCTGATCGCAATCCGAATTGTAGTTTGCCGGTTTGTCGTATGTCCTTATATTTCGCTCAATTTGAATAAAATTTATTTCCATATTCATGTTTGTTTTCTTGTTTTTTACATCTTAATTTAAATTTTAGTAACTGTAATGATTATTTATTTATTAATTGATTTAATAAAGTACTGATTTAATTTATTATGCAATTGTAAATAGCAGTGTATTGTAAATATGTTATCACAACTTGTATATTTGCAGAACTTGAATTTACGATCTTTCCGTCCTTTTACAATGTTTCCCTCTTCAGATCAATCTGTGTTATCTTCCCTGTGATGTCATTCTTATAGTAGCTGTGGTTCAATGTTCAGATAATGTGATAAATAACTTTTTAAAAACTTAAATACTTAATTTTTGTTTCAAATCCTGAAAAAGAACAAAATAAATCAAATATTTGTGTTTTTACCTGTGTTAACGAGTTTACCTGCGTTAACAAGTTTACCTGTGTTAACGAGTTTACCTAAGAGGCTGTAAGTGTATCATAAGTAATATGTGACATCAGTATAGAAAACAAAGTCAGTACCAAGAGTTGTAAACTTGTTTATTTGTTTACAGATGTGCATGAAGAGAATTTACCTGTAACACCTGGGATTACCTGTGCCGTCCAAGATGACAAGACCACTGTGTTATGTTTACCTTGTATCTGTGATTTATTTTTTGTGATTTGTAATACAATTTGAGCCAAAATTCATTGTCTGTTTTCATTTTTTCAGTGTTTTCAAGTTTTATTTCACTTGTAAACACCTGTAATTAGAAAATAACAAAGGTTAGAGACAATAACAACAAAGAATATTAAAGTATACTTAATCCTCTTTACAATGGTATATGATAAATGTATATTAAAAGCAAGTTTCTGGTAGAAAAAGTGCATCAAAAATGATAGTGTGATTTTCCAATAATACTGCCAGGGAGGCCAGTGTACAGGCCTTGTCAGTGTCAGGGACTGCAGGGTCTCAAGGGACATAACTCTGGGGCAGCCAGTGATGAAAGAGTTAATGTATTTACTGCTGTTTTCTGACGTCGTAATGCAGGTTAAGTATACAAATGTAAAAAATATTTAGATTATACTTAATTTTTTAACTGATCCTGCATTTCGATGTCAGAAAACAGCATTAAATGCTTATTGAGCAATACAGGATAAGTATGCAAATGTAAAAAATATTTAGATTTTATTAAATTTGTTCAGAATTTGTATTTTTAACTTCAATCAGAGGTATATAAATACTGCATTCAATGGGATATTGTAAAATGAAGTGTTCAAGGTTCTTCTTTATTGGTTCTGTTGTCAGTCAAACAAGCCGTCACATTAGTTATTCTAGCATAAATTTGGATTAGTAGTTGAATTTCTGCCTCGGAGCAAGTTTATGTGAATAATTTGATCCTATACCAAAGCAAAATGTAGAACCCTTGCTGTGAAGATTTAAGTATTTGTATATACCTTGATATACCTACATATATGATTGGAGGGGGTCATGGGTTGCTCAGTCGTCTGAGGCGCCGCAATTCGCTGTGCAGAGTTGCGTCCCTTGGGCATGCCAGCAACCAGACTATGTTTCTTGATTTGTCAGCACCATACCCGTGCTCGTGGGTTTCACCGAAGTGGTAAACGTCTGAGACCTGCATCACTTCGGGCTTTCCTTCCACATTAAGCTGACACGACGCAGTATAACTGTAATACTGTTAAAAGCGGCGTTAAACCCAACTTACTCACTCACTATATATATGATGATTTCTATTTATGTGTAATTTTGTTTGTAAAATTGGAAACACTACTTAAATATGTGTTAGTCCGCGTGTGAAGTCAGTATTCGTGTATCATCAGTAGAAATGCCGGTGTTGTTTACTGGGTGAGAGTTACAGGAAGCTGTGTGTTGGCAGGCTGCCGGACGGCTTGACCCGGAGAGGGGACATCAACTTGCTGATGCTGGGCGACCCAGGAACAGCCAAAAGTCAGCTGCTCAAGTTCGTAGAGAGAGTGTCGCCCATTGCTGTAAGTGCAGATTCAACATCTTCATTGACGATATATGAAATAGATCACATCATACGTCTCAACAACAATGTTGATACAGAACAGAAATGTAACAAAGTCATTAATTAAGAGACCCATCAAACATTCACATACATTTATGATGTCCTATCAAGGCATTTGCATAATAGGAAATCTAACACCAGTAGAGTCAAATATTACATTTTACGATGCAACTTTCACTCGTATGACTATGACATTAAAATACTGGTCATTGTGGAGTTAAATCCGAACTTAGTCACTGTTATTTCAGACAATACAGTGACAAGAATGTCTCATGTTAATGTCGTTTATTCCATTACATTCCACTTACAGAAATGTCACACAGCATCACTCTGATCCAAACTGTCTAACTGCCCTTCCCCAAGAAACCCATCGGGGGCATGGGTGGCCCAGTTGTCTAAGGCGCCGCGATTCGCTGTGCAGAGTTGTGTCCTTTGGGCATGGCAGAAACCTATGATTGTGGGTTCGAATCCCGGTTCGCCCCAATTATGTTTCTAGGTTTGTCAGCACCATACCCGTGCTCATGGGTTTCGCCGAAGTGGTAAACGTCTGAGACCTGCATCACTTCGGGCTTTCTTCCCACATTAAGCTGACACGCCGAGATATAACTGGAATACTGTTAAATGCAGCGTTAAACCCAACCCAACTCACTCACTCACTCACCAAACTCACCAAACTCACCAAACTCACGAAACCTCCCTCCCTTGTGTCACATATACAATCACACAGAACATTACTTCCCAGTAAACAAGTTCCCTTGGCAATATCAATCGCAAGCTCACACTTGATGCCGCCATCTTAAATGGTTTCTCACTCTTACGAATCCAGTTATATGTTTACGCACTAACTGTAACATTTGAAAACTCTGTTGTGTCACTAATGCTGTATAGATGCTGATGCCAGAAGGCAAGTCTTGTGTTTATAAACTTGTTTGAAAAGAAGTATAATGTAAGTAGTTGAAGGGGCAGTACTATATAGACGGCCATGTTTGCAGGTGTACACATCTGGGAAAGGCAGCAGTGCAGCCGGACTCACAGCCTCGGTTTTGAGAGACCCACAGACTGTGAGTATAAGCTGATGATGTTCAGACATTTTTTAGTTCCGGGCTCTATCTTTTCTACACTGGCTATATAACATGGCTAGATAATGTTATGTCAATCTATCCCCCTTGAATTATGTAATTTCTGTTGCATAACCAGAGCTACAGATAAGCTGTGTATTTGCGTAAAATCCCCCTCCCCAAAAAATAATCAAACCCCAATTACTTTCAATTAACTTGCGTACAGAAACGCATGCATTAAATGAAAAACTCAAATGTATAAAAACAGCATGCGTAAATACCCAATGAGATTTTTTCAGCATACGTATAAAGGAGTTAATTTCCAAAACACAATTATGAGCTAATTTACTTTCCGAGGCAAGCCTATAGTTAGAACCCTTATATACATCTAAAACATTATATATTTTTTTATTTTTAAATCTTAAAATGTTTACTCATTTTGGGAATAACCCAATAGAGTGATGAATAGATAAGTAAAAAATTATTGGTTACCCAATGAAAAATGTAATAACCCAATTAAAATAGAAACCCTAGAGTAAAAACTCAATTGCTCGGATAGTTATCTGGAGCTCTGCATAACTCATCTGGTCAATATTTGCTAATATCATACTCACAGTTGTGATATTCAGTATGACAATCGTTTTGTGCTGAACTGGTGTCCAGATCTTGATAAAGGTCTTCTTGAGTATTTGAAACTACTATCAGAGCTCCAGATAAGCTGCGTAGCTGCGTAAAATACAGATCAGAAATGCAGAAATACGCAGCAAAATAAAATCCAAGCGTATCAAATACGCAACGAACATTACAGATACACTACAAAAATAAAACTTGTGCGTATCATCAAAATATTGTGAAGTAACCCTGCGTATTTGATTAGCAAATCAGCAACTTATTTTGAAATTATAAACGGGCATTCCGTCAACCTTGCCAAACTCCATGATGACAGTTACATCATGATCATTTGCCATCACACTTTCTTGTGGAAGTATCGTATTTTTGAGTCCTATAAAGCTCTCGAACCCACACAACACCAGTTTGCAGGGACTACATGAATAGTGTTTCTAAATATTTAACTTAAATACCCACATGTGTAAAACCTAGTAGGTAACAGAAATTTGAATACCCAGATAGAATTACTGATACCCAATGATTTAAAAATGCATGGGTAAAATACCCACAACACCAAAAGTTTATCTGGAGCTCTGTACTATTGTCATTGTTATTATTTCTGTTTGTAGAAAAACTTTGTAATGGAAGGAGGAGCGATGGTGTTGGCTGATGGGGGTGTGGTGTGTATCGATGAGTTTGACAAGATGAGGGAGGACGATCGAGTTGCCATCCACGAGGCCATGGAACAACAGACCATCTCCATAGCCAAGGTGTGAAGGCCCAGTGAGGAGCACTACTGAGGTGCACGACAGCACTACCGAAATACACAACCCAGCACAACCGAAATACACAACCCAGCACAACCGAAATACACAACCCAGCACAACAGAAATACACAACCCAGCACAACTGAAATACAAAAAACAGCACTACCAAAATATACAACCCAGCACAACTGAAATACACAACCCAGCACAACTGAAATACACAACCCAGCACAACTGAAATACACAACACAGCACAACTGAAATACAGAACACAGCACAACTGAAATACACAACCCAGCACAACTGAAATACACAACCCAGCACAACTGAAATACACAACACAGCACAACTGAAATACACAACACAGCACAACTGAAATACACAACCCAGCACAACCGAAATACACAACCCAGCACAACCGAAATACACAACCCAGCACAACCAAAATACACAACCCAGCACAACTGAAATACACAACACAGCACAACTGAAATACACAACCCAGCACAACTGAAATACACAACCCAGCACAACTGAAATACACAACCCAGCACAACCAAAATACACAACCCAGCACAACCGAAATACACAACACAGCACAACTGAAATACAGAACACAACACTACCAAAATACACAACCCAGCACAACTGAAATACACAACACAGCACAACTGAAATACAGAACACAGCACTACCAAAATACACAACCCAGCACAACTGAAATACACAACCCAGCACAACTGAAATACACAACCCAGCACAACTGAAATACACAACACAGCACAACTGAAATACACAACCCAGCACAACCGAAATACACAACCCAGCACAACTGAAATACACAACCCAGCACAACCAAAATACACAACCCAGCACAACTGAAATACACAACACAGCACAACCAAAATACACAACCCAGCACAACCGAAATACACAACACAGCACAACTGAAATACAGAACACAACACTACCAAAATACACAACCCAGCACAACTGAAATACACAACACAGCACAACTGAAATACAGAACACAGCACTACCAAAATACACAACCCAGCACAACTGAAATACACAACCCAGCACAACTGAAATACACAACCCAGCACAACTGAAATACACAACACAGCACAACTGAAATACACAACCCAGCACAACCGAAATACACAACCCAGCACAACTGAAATACACAACCCAGCACAACCAAAATACACAACCCAGCACAACTGAAATACACAACACAGCACAACCAAAATACACAACCCAGCACAACCGAAATACACAACCCAGCACAACTGAAATACACAACCCAGCACAACCGAAATACACAACCCAGCACAACTGAAATACACAAAACCACTACTAGCACTACTGAAGTGGACAACAGCACTAATGCATTGGAATCACGCACGTTGAGACGCCCAACGCTAACACCGTATTTGTGCGTGCATGATTCCCGTGCACCCTTTTGAGTTGAGTTGATTGGTTCAACTGTGTCATATGGCCCTGTGATGCAGGGGTAGCATTATGCATATGGCTGTTTCAATGAATGCTCGTTCAACCCGTGAAGAACAGGTCTGGTTGTTGATGAAATATAGTGATAGCTAAATAGACAGATTTTTTATCCATGCACTGATTGTCTTTAAATGTAATATCCAGTTAGGTATGACTCTTTAATAATCTCATACCAACTTTGACTGGAGTTGGTCCAGTAGTTTTTCAGATATTGTAGTAAATGCCGGTACCTTAAATTACCTTCCAGACTATACAAGACCTGTGAAGATCCAGGTTGGAATTGATCTTCAGCAACCCATGCTTGTAACAAGCCACTAATGGGATCGGGTGGTCAGACTTGCTGACCTGGTTGATGCATGTCATCTTATCCCAACTGTGTAGATCAATGCTCATGATGTCAGTCACTGGATTGTCTGGTCCAGACTTGATTATTTTCAGATCGCCGTTGTATAGCTGGAATATTGCTGAGTGTGGCGTTGAACAACAAAACAAACAAATAAAATGATTTTCTGATGATCAGCAGACATTTAGTGGTCTGACAGTCTTAACATACTGGACCCGTGAAGATTCCAGGGTAGAATAGGTCTTAATCAGCCCATGCTTGCCGAAAAGGCGACTATGCTTGTCGTAAAAGGCGACTAACAGGATCAGGTGGTCAGGCTCGCTGACTTGGTTGATGCATGTCATTGATCCCAATTGCGATTGATGCTCATGATATCAATCACTTGATTGTCTGTCCAGACTCGATTATTTGCAGACCGCCGTCATATAGCTGGAATATTGCTGAGTGCGGCGTTAAACAACAAACCAACCAACCTAACATACTGGGTGAGGTGTGTAGGAAGAGTCCTTTGGTAGCTCGACATTTTCTCGAAGGCATCCTCTTCATGTCCTGATCTGTCTACAGGCTGGGATCACAACAACCCTCAACTCCCGGTGTTCCGTGTTGGCTGCTGCTAACAGCCTGTTCGGAAGGTGGGATGACACTAAGGGCGCTGACAACATCGACTTCATGCCTACCATCTTGTCCAGGTTCGATATGATCTTCGTCGTGAAAGACGAGCACGACGAGAGGAGAGATATGGTGAGTTTGTGTCATCTCACCTGGAACTCACCTTCAGGTTTCATGTTGATGGGACAAGGAAGTGCACAAGGCCTAGAATTTTAGACATAAATATTTCGATGCATTTTTAAATAATAAGTTGCACTGGTGCATGTTTCATTTTACTAAGTAAACTGTCTGTAAAAGTCCAGTTTCCACCTTGATGAACTAGCCAGCGATTCCAGTGTTATTTTTTGGCTGGACTGACGAGTCTATGCATAGTCAAATCAAAATTGTGTAACAAACTAGACGTCCGGTTTGTCATATTTGGCAAATCTCTTTGTTTTTAATCAAGGTGCTCAAGTAAGACCTGTTGAATTACAATGTAGATCTTGATAAACGATCAGGTCATCTTTCCTGGGCACCGCCATTTTGTTTGAAACAAATACAAGTGATATGACAGATGGAATCTGATTGGTCAGTAAGAGGGACGTAGAAGGGACATAACCCGTAATAACCACTGGTGGTGCTTCGATCAAGCCTTGAAATTCCAGACCAGTTTGGCAAGGGTGGAGACTAGACTCCGGAAGATGATTCCTGTTATTAGTGTTAAAGGAACGTCGTTTATTGTGTGTGTTGCCTAAACCATAATTGCCGTAAAAGGCTACCATGCTTGTCTTAAGAGGCGACTAAAGGGATCGGGTTGTCAGGCTCGCTGATTTGGTTCATGCATGTCATCCATCCCAAATGTGTGGATCGATGCTCATGATATCAATCACTGGATTGTCTGGTCCAGACTCAATTACTTACAGACCGCTGTCATATAGATGGAATAATGCTGAGTGCGGCGTAAAGCAATAAACCAACCAAACCACCCTGACAGGACTTCAATAGTACTGTTATGTAATGATGAGAATGTGGTGTTGGAACTGATTGCCTGTAGGGACATCTGAGCAGAATATGTTCCAGGCACCTGTAGGAAGATACAAGTAATGATTTGGTTATTTGCAATGTGACCGATAATTGTGTGTCAAGAGTGGATCATTTGTGCACTTTATATACTCCAATGGTCTGTCCGAGACTTCTCAGCAGGAATATTGTTGAACAACATTATCTAGGTTGTATTGTTTGTATGACAGTGTTCCCGTTTATCGGTAAATACCAATTTATAACCGGTAAAATTAGGTTTGGACTGGTACTTCATGTGACTGCCAGTCCCTGTGGACTGGCAAATAAAGTACCTTATAAATCTTTGTTGTTGAACAAAACATCAGCGATGTTCATATAGGTATATTTTTCCAATGAAGTCAGCTTGTCTGTTACCTTCAGGGTTTCCCCTTGTCTATTTTTAGTGCAAGGAAATAACATTTTGCTTTGGTTCGAGGTTAAAGATATATTTGAAGCGACTTAGTCTTGAAAAATAAAAAAAAAGAAGAGAAAATTGTGACTGAATTTTGTGTGAATGACGTGTAGATCTAACTAAGTTACTAAGAGATGATGTCATGTTGAATGAATTAAAACTAGGTAATTCTTTTACGTTTATTTAATTGTTGAAAGTTGGGGACTGACAAAAATTAGGAAGGTACTGGTAATTTTTAGTGTAGCCAGCGGGAACTCTGGTATGATTTTCCATGCATCTTGAATGTCAAGCTATGTCGACAGCCAGTTCAGCTAGGTTGTCTCGTACTGTGATGATGAGAGCGGCTGTATTTCTCCTTCAGACACTGGCCAAGCATGTGATGAACGTGCATCTGAACTCGCTACAGTCCGCGGAAGAACTGAATGATGGAGAGATTGATCTCAACACCCTGAAGAAGTTGATATCATTTGTTAGAACGTAAGTTGCTGTTTAAAAACATGGCATTTAAACTGAAGTAGCCCAGGAACATTGTGTTGCTTGTGAAGATCAATTTAATGATTTAGTTTTGTTGTTATATCGTGTGATCATTTGAATATTGATTTCTTTCCTTACAGCAAATGTGGACCCCGTCTTTCTCCGGAGGCTGCCGAGAAACTGAAGAACCGCTATGTTCTGATGAGGAATGGTGCCCAAGAGTATGAGAGGGAGACTGGAAAGAAAGTCAGCATCCCCATCACTGTCAGGTAGGCATCACATCCCCATCACTGTCCATTAGCATCTCCATCACTGTCAGGTAGGCATCGCATCCCCATCACTGTCAGGTAGGCATCGCATCCCCATCACTGTCAGGTAGGCATCGCATCCCCATCACTGTCAGGTAGGCATCGCATCCCCATCACTGTCCATTAGCATCTCCATCACTGTCAGGTAGGCATCGCATCCCCATCACTGTCCATTAGCATCTCCATCACTGTCAGGTAGGCATCGCATCCCCATCACTGTCCATTAGCATCTCCATCACTGTCAGGTAGGCATCGCATCCCCGTCACTGTCCATTAGCATCTCCATCACTGTCAGGTAGGCATCGCATCCCCATCACTGTCCATTAGCATCTCCATCACTGTCAGGTAGGCATCGCATCCCCATCACTGTCAGGTAGGCATCGCATCCCCATCACTGTCAGGTAGGCATCGCATCCCCATCACTGTCAGGTAGGCATCGCATCCCCATCACTGTCCATTAGCATCTCCATCACTGTCAGGTAGGCATCGCATCCCCATCACTGTCCATTAGCATCTCCATCACTGTCAGGTAGGCATCGCATCCCCGTCACTGTCCATTAGCATCTCCATCACTGTCAGGTAGGCATCGCATCCCCATCACTGTCCATTAGCATCTCCATCACTGTCAGGTAGGCATCGCATCCCCGTCACTGTCCATTAGCATCCCCATCACTGTCAGGTAGGCATCGCATCCCCATCACTGTCAGGTAGCATCTCCATCATTGTCAGGTAGGCATCGCATCCCCATCACTGTCAGGTAGTCATCGCATCCCCATCACTGTCAGGTAGGCATCGCATCCCCATCACTGTCCATTAGCATCTCCATCACTGTCAGGTAGGCATCACATCCCCATCACTGTCCATTAGCATCTCCATCACTGTCAGGTAGGCATCGCATCCCCGTCACTGTCCATTAGCATCTCCATCACTGTCAGGTAGGCATCGCATCCCCATCACTGTCCATTAGCATCTCCATCACTGTCAGGTAGGCATCGCATCTCCATCACTGTCCATTAGCATCCCCATCACTGTCAGGTAGGCATCGCATCCCCATCACTGTCAGGTAGGCACTGCATCCCCATCACTGTCCATTAGCATCTCCATCACTGTCAGGTAGGCATCGCATCCCCATCACTGTCAGGTAGGCATCACATCCCCATCACTGTCAGGTAGGCATCGCATCCCCATCACTGTCCATTAGCATCTCCATCACTGTCAGGTAGGCATCACATCCCCATCACTGTCCATTAGCATCTCCATCACTGTCAGGTCAGCATCGCATCCCCATCACTGTCCATTAGCATCTCCATCACTGTCAGGTAGGCATCGCATCCCCATCACTGTCCATTAGCATCCCCATCACTGTCAGGTAGGCATCGCATCCCCATCACTGTCAGGTAGGCATCACATCCCCATCACTGTCAGGTAGGCATCGCATCCCCATCACTGTCAGGTAGGCATCGCATCCCCATCACTGTCCATTAGCATCTCCATCACTGTCAGGTCAGCATCGCATCCCCATCACTGTCCATTAGCATCTCCATCACTGTCAGGTAGGCATCGCATCCCCATCACTGTCCATTAGCATCCCCATCACTGTCAGGTAGGCATCGCATCCCCATCACTGTCAGGTAGGCATCACATCCCCATCACTGTCAGGTAGGCATCGCATCCCCATCACTGTCAGGTAGGCATCGCATCCCCATCACTGTCAGGTAGGCATCGCATCCCCATCACTGTCAGGTAGGCATCGCATCCCCATCACTGTCCATTAGCATCTCCATCACTGTCAGGTAGGCATCGCATCCCCATCACTGTCAGGTAGGCATCGCATCTCCATCACTGTCAGGTAGGCATCGCATCCCCGTCACTGTCCATTAGCATCTCCATCACTGTCAGGTAGGCATCGCATCCCCATCACTGTCCATTAGCATCTCCATCACTGTCAGGTAGGCATCGCATCTCCATCACTGTCCATTAGCATCCCCATCACTGTCAGGTAGGCATCGCATCCCCATCACTGTCAGGTAGGCACTGCATCCCCATCACTGTCCATTAGCATCTCCATCACTGTCAGGTAGGCATCGCATCCCCATCACTGTCAGGTAGGCATCACATCCCCATCACTGTCAGGTAGGCATCGCATCCCCATCACTGTCCATTAGCATCTCCATCACTGTCAGGTAGGCATCACATCCCCATCACTGTCCATTAGCATCTCCATCACTGTCAGGTCAGCATCGCATCCCCATCACTGTCCATTAGCATCTCCATCACTGTCAGGTAGGCATCGCATCCCCATCACTGTCCATTAGCATCCCCATCACTGTCAGGTAGGCATCGCATCCCCATCACTGTCAGGTAGGCATCACATCCCCATCACTGTCAGGTAGGCATCGCATCCCCATCACTGTCAGGTAGGCATCGCATCCCCATCACTGTCAGGTAGGCATCGCATCCCCATCACTGTCAGGTAGGCATCGCATCCCCATCACTGTCCATTAGCATCTCCATCACTGTCAGGTAGGCATCGCATCCCCATCACTGTCAGGTAGGCATCGCATCTCCATCACTGTCAGGTAGGCATCACATCCCCATCACTGTCCATTAGCATCTCCATCACTGTCAGTGTCAGGTAGACATCGCACCCCAGTCACTGTCCATTAGCATCCCCATCACTGTCAGGTAGGCATCGCATCCCCATCACTGTCAGGTAGGCATCGCATCCCCATCACTGTCCATTAGCATCCCCATCACTGTCAGGTAGGCATCACATCCCCATCACTGTCAGGTAGGCATCGCATCCCCATCACTGTCAGGTAGGCATCGCATCCCCATCACTGTCAGGTAGGCATCGCATCCCCATCACTGTCAGGTAGGCATCGCATCCCCATCACTGTCCATTAGCATCTCCATCACTGTCAGGTAGGCATCGCATCCCCATCACTGTCAGGTAGGCATCGCATCTCCATCACTGTCAGGTAGGCATCACATCCCCATCACTGTCCATTAGCATCTCCATCACTGTCAGTGTCAGGTAGACATCGCACCCCAGTCACTGTCCATTAGCATCCCCATCACTGTCAGGTAGGCATCGCATCCCCATCACTGTCAGGTAGGCATCGCATCCCCATCACTGTCCATTAGCATCCCCATCACTGTCAGGTAGGCATCGCATCTCCATCACTGTCAGGTAGGCATCGCATCCCCATCACTGTCAGGTAGGCATCGCATCCCCATCACTGTCCATTAGCATCTCCATCACTGTCAGGTAGGCATCGCATCCCCGTCACTGTCCATTAGCATCTCCATCACTGTCAGGTAGGCATCGCATCCCCATCACTGTCCATTAGCATCTCCATCACTGTCAGGTAGGCATCGCATCCCCGTCACTGTCCATTAGCATCCCCATCACTGTCAGGTAGGCATCGCATCCCCATCACTGTCAGGTAGCATCTCCATCATTGTCAGGTAGGCATCGCATCCCCATCACTGTCAGGTAGTCATCGCATCCCCATCACTGTCAGGTAGGCATCGCATCCCCATCACTGTCCATTAGCATCTCCATCACTGTCAGGTAGGCATCACATCCCCATCACTGTCCATTAGCATCTCCATCACTGTCAGGTAGGCATCGCATCCCCGTCACTGTCCATTAGCATCTCCATCACTGTCAGGTAGGCATCGCATCCCCATCACTGTCCATTAGCATCTCCATCACTGTCAGGTAGGCATCGCATCTCCATCACTGTCCATTAGCATCCCCATCACTGTCAGGTAGGCATCGCATCCCCATCACTGTCAGGTAGGCACTGCATCCCCATCACTGTCCATTAGCATCTCCATCACTGTCAGGTAGGCATCGCATCCCCATCACTGTCAGGTAGGCATCACATCCCCATCACTGTCAGGTAGGCATCGCATCCCCATCACTGTCCATTAGCATCTCCATCACTGTCAGGTAGGCATCACATCCCCATCACTGTCCATTAGCATCTCCATCACTGTCAGGTCAGCATCGCATCCCCATCACTGTCCATTAGCATCTCCATCACTGTCAGGTAGGCATCGCATCCCCATCACTGTCCATTAGCATCCCCATCACTGTCAGGTAGGCATCGCATCCCCATCACTGTCAGGTAGGCATCACATCCCCATCACTGTCAGGTAGGCATCGCATCCCCATCACTGTCAGGTAGGCATCGCATCCCCATCACTGTCCATTAGCATCTCCATCACTGTCAGGTCAGCATCGCATCCCCATCACTGTCCATTAGCATCTCCATCACTGTCAGGTAGGCATCGCATCCCCATCACTGTCCATTAGCATCCCCATCACTGTCAGGTAGGCATCGCATCCCCATCACTGTCAGGTAGGCATCACATCCCCATCACTGTCAGGTAGGCATCGCATCCCCATCACTGTCAGGTAGGCATCGCATCCCCATCACTGTCAGGTAGGCATCGCATCCCCATCACTGTCAGGTAGGCATCGCATCCCCATCACTGTCCATTAGCATCTCCATCACTGTCAGGTAGGCATCGCATCCCCATCACTGTCAGGTAGGCATCGCATCTCCATCACTGTCAGGTAGGCATCGCATCCCCGTCACTGTCCATTAGCATCTCCATCACTGTCAGGTAGGCATCGCATCCCCATCACTGTCCATTAGCATCTCCATCACTGTCAGGTAGGCATCGCATCTCCATCACTGTCCATTAGCATCCCCATCACTGTCAGGTAGGCATCGCATCCCCATCACTGTCAGGTAGGCACTGCATCCCCATCACTGTCCATTAGCATCTCCATCACTGTCAGGTAGGCATCGCATCCCCATCACTGTCAGGTAGGCATCACATCCCCATCACTGTCAGGTAGGCATCGCATCCCCATCACTGTCCATTAGCATCTCCATCACTGTCAGGTAGGCATCACATCCCCATCACTGTCCATTAGCATCTCCATCACTGTCAGGTCAGCATCGCATCCCCATCACTGTCCATTAGCATCTCCATCACTGTCAGGTAGGCATCGCATCCCCATCACTGTCCATTAGCATCCCCATCACTGTCAGGTAGGCATCGCATCCCCATCACTGTCAGGTAGGCATCACATCCCCATCACTGTCAGGTAGGCATCGCATCCCCATCACTGTCAGGTAGGCATCGCATCCCCATCACTGTCAGGTAGGCATCGCATCCCCATCACTGTCCATTAGCATCTCCATCACTGTCAGGTAGGCATCGCATCCCCATCACTGTCAGGTAGGCATCGCATCTCCATCACTGTCAGGTAGGCATCACATCCCCATCACTGTCCATTAGCATCTCCATCACTGTCAGTGTCAGGTAGACATCGCACCCCAGTCACTGTCCATTAGCATCCCCATCACTGTCAGGTAGGCATCGCATCCCCATCACTGTCAGGTAGGCATCGCATCCCCATCACTGTCCATTAGCATCCCCATCACTGTCAGGTAGGCATCACATCCCCATCACTGTCAGGTAGGCATCGCATCCCCATCACTGTCAGGTAGGCATCGCATCCCCATCACTGTCAGGTAGGCATCGCATCCCCATCACTGTCAGGTAGGCATCGCATCCCCATCACTGTCCATTAGCATCTCCATCACTGTCAGGTAGGCATCGCATCCCCATCACTGTCAGGTAGGCATCGCATCTCCATCACTGTCAGGTAGGCATCACATCCCCATCACTGTCCATTAGCATCTCCATCACTGTCAGTGTCAGGTAGACATCGCACCCCAGTCACTGTCCATTAGCATCCCCATCACTGTCAGGTAGGCATCGCATCCCCATCACTGTCAGGTAGGCATCGCATCCCCATCACTGTCCATTAGCATCCCCATCACTGTCAGGTAGGCATCGCATCTCCATCACTGTCAGGTAGGCATCGCATCCCCATCACTGTCAGGTAGGCATCGCATCCCCATCACTGTCCATTAGCATCTCCATCACTGTCAGGTAGGCATCGCATCTCCATCACTGTCGCATCCCCATCACTGTCCATTAGCATCTCCATCACTGTCAGGTAGGCATCGCATCTCCATCACTGTCAGGTAGGCATCACATCCCCATCACTGTCAGGTAGGCATCGCATCCCCATCACTGTCAGGTAGGCATCGCATCCCCATCACTGTCAGGTAGTCATCGCATCCCCATCACTGTCCATTAGCATCTCCATCACTGTCAGGCAGGCATCGCATCTCCATCACTGTCAGGTAGGCATCGCATCCCCATCCTTGTCAGGTAGGCATCGCATCCCCATCACTGTCCATTAGCATCTCCATCACTGTCAGGCAGGCATCGCATCTCCATCACTGTCAGGTAGGCATCACATCCCCGTCACTGTCCATTAGCATCTCCATCACTGTCAGGCAGGCATCGCATCCCCATCACTGTCCATTAGCATCTCCATCACTGTCAGGTAGGCATCGCATCCCCATCCTTGTCAGGTAGGCATCGCATCCCCATCACTGCCCATTTGCATCTCCATCATTGTCAGGTGGCATCCGGGGCAGTCGGGTAGCCTAGTGGTTAAAGTGTTCGCTCGCCACGCCAAAGACCCGGCTTCGATTCCCAATATAGGTACAATGTGTGAAGCCTGCCAATGTGTGGTATCCCCCGCTGTGACATTGCTGGAACATTGCTAAAAGCGGCGTACAACCTCACTCACTCACTCACTCACTCACTCACTCACTCAGGTGGCACCCCCATCACTCTTTCTTACCACTTTAATCTGACTATGATTACTACTGAAATTCTAATGTGTCATTAATCTTAACACAAATTTGTGATCTCAGGCAGCTTGAGGCCATCATCAGAATCTCTGAGAGCCTGGCCAAGATGAGGATGGAAGCTTTCGCAACTGAGGCGGATGTGGATGAGGCTCTGCGGCTGTTCCAGGTGTCCACTCTGGACGCCGCCAACTCCGGCAACCTCGCAGGTAGGCAGAGTCCATGAAATCTTAAAGATATCGTCACCAAGCAGCAGACTTTTCCAGTAGTTAGAGTGGAAAAAGTGAAGTTTAAATTACCAGGAACCCAGGGAATGGATTGTATTTAAGAAATAAACGAGTAGAAGTTTATCGTACAATAAGACACTGGAGGGAGAATTACCCATGATAGGTGCAACCTCGAGTGTTATATTCTCCCTGCAGTGTTATAATAGTAAAGGACTACAAGTCGTATATTTCTGATGAGATATCATCATTATGTATTGCCCCTTTAAGGATGATGTAAAAATGTAAAAGCCTTAAAGATATCTCATTAAAATCAGATCTAAGTTCCTGCTGCCTCTAAACAATGATCTGAGGACATCCCATTAGGCGTGTTAGGGGTCACGTCAGAACGACAGTCAGAATGTGATTTCTGATCTTCGAAATCTTTAACATGGGGTATTACGAACTATAGTTACGGGCTTAACGACTGAATCCATACAATATAGACAATCTATTAGCCATTCCAGAATGTTCATTTGTTCAGGTTTCAAATTTTTAATCGAGAATTTGTTAAAGTATGTTTTGAAGCGTAGTCGCCAATATGAAATTAGTGCCGTAAAGCACGAGAAAGCTGCCTTCTTATCGGCTAATGTCGACTTCTTGTCAGTCATTCCATTGGTCGGTCGAAGTTAGCACAAGGTCGGTCTGTCATGACCCGTAATGGGGTGTCCTCAGATCTTTGTTTGTCGCGAGAACTAAGATCTGATTTTAATGAGATTGTAAAAATATTTGCCCGTATTTTGATAATGATGACTCACTAAATAGAATCTGACCTCGGAAATGTCGGACGAGTCTACTGGGTTAAGTTTGGTATTTCTTGCATATTCTCGCAATCCTCGCATTGATTACCTAACCTTTTCTCTTAATGCTGATTGTCATATCTCCCCACTTTGCGTTTATCTGCACATCCCAGCTACATCTATGGGGAACAACTTACCAGACACTTCCCTCTCAAAAATAATGTCAGTTCAATATATGAAGTCATTAGCTTGCAAGCGCATATTCGATTTTCCAGAAATGACATCATGATAGAACAATGTTTTATCGTGAAATAAGCCACGCTTCGTTTTTCATTTTTCTTTGCGATTTATCACATAGCTATCTTATGTTGTGTTGGTGATGTGGATGGTGTTGCCATGGTGATACATGTGTTGGTGATGTTGCCAGGAGCTGAAGGCTTCACCACAGAGGAGGACCAGGAGCTGCTGAGTCGGATTGAGAAGCAGATGAAGAGACGCTTCATCATCGGATCCCAGGTGTCGGAACACGCAATCATACAAGACTTCACCAGACAGGTAGGTTGCCCCCAGTTACAACGCTGTAGTCAGCCACAGGTTTTTTTAATAAAACCACAACATGTGTCAGTAAAACTGAGCTCAAAGCCATTTTTCAGTCCCAGCAATGAATGAAGTTTCACTCAAGCTGGAAGAGTCGTCTCCCTTTCATTGTGAAAGTCTGTTGAACAAGCTTACAGTTTGCTTGGTAATAATACCGAAACAGCAAAAGTGCTATATGTGAAGGAAGTTTCCAATTACTGACCCTTTTCTTTAAAAGTTTTCAAAATAACAAAACAAATTATTATTATTCAGAGGTGTTGAAATCCATGGTTCACTGGTTGTCTAATTGTTCCCGAGTACAGGCACAGCTCATCAAAATCATGTGTTGGTTCTTGAGCTGATAAGGTGTTCACTATCTTACACTGTAGAGCCTCATTATTTTAATTTTTTATCAAAATGCTTAGTTACAGTCTCTGATTCATAACTTTAACATCCCTTTCACGGATTCTGAACTAAAGAAACAAAAATAAATGTATTTCGAGACTGTGCACCCTTTTTTGATGTAAATGCCATGGCGCTCAAATCAAAGTGTTTGTGGGCGTTATCATATGTCCATGTCAGAATGATGAGATCTGATTGGTCCACTTGATAAAATACTGTGTATCCCACCTTGGTGGGGAATCAATTTCTCAGTGGAAGAATGAATCCCTTATACCCCGCCATGAGCAAGTCAGGCTGCACGTGGATTTCTGAGAGGCAGAATAAATCCTTCATACCCTGCTTCCAAGCATAAAACTGCATGTTTTTTTCCCCCGAGTCAATAATAGTCAAGTGACATAGCGCATGCTTTCCTCAGCTGGATCGAACAGCTTTTTTCTATCAATTTTAAATTTATGTTAATTCTTTTACAATTAAAACATGTCGGTAAGATAAATTCATTGGAGCAGGATCAGGGGTTTCCCTCCTTAGGTATTATACCACGAGCAGGAGAAGCCCAAATATTATTCTAGCCTGTATCATCTGATTGACGGATTAGGAACTTCATGTGATGGAGGATTTATCAGATCTTGACAGATCAAATTTGAGTAAAATTGTGTGTTTACAATTTTGAGGCCAACTTCGTAAAAACCTGCAAATAGAGGTTTTTGTTATTGTAAACCAGATTGCACTTAAACACCAAGATATAATTCAGGTAAAGTCTCTACTATGCCCAGTTAATTGTGATGTATTCTGTGTAAATATGTCATAGTACTTAATGGGGAAAACTCTATTAATGTAAAAACCTACTAACTTGTTTGATAGGCATTACTTAGAAGTTGGCGGATGACTAGATAGACGATCTATCTTGAAAAACCTACTAGTCGACAGGATTAGTATTTAAACCTGAATGGTTTTATTGAAACTGATAGCTAGACAATGGAAGTGCTTCCAAAGTTATAAATAAGGTGTTGTATGCTGTACATCGGGTCTGACAGTGTTTCCTTGTTTCAGAAATACCCGGAGAGAGCGATACAGAAAGTTGTGTATCTGATGTTGAGGCGTGGAGAGATTCAGCATCGCATGCAGCGCAAGATGTTGTACCGAGTCAAGTAGTGCCGTCTTGAGGGGGTACCGCATAGGATGAGAACTTGTTTCCATGGAGATGTAGTCGTTTCAGGGATTTTCATAAACTGCTCAGGGGCATATTCAGCCTGCAGCAAATGTCCGAAATGTTCCGAAATTGGAATGACAAATTTCCCTGATGGCTTTGTATCTTGTGTTTGTTTCACTGACAAATTTGAACAAAGTAACAAATCCCTGCTCTTGTATGTGCTGTGTTGGGGAGACGATTGGAGATTTTTCATTGTGTACAGATGTAAATGAGATATTGTACGAGGGAACTTTCACCCCATCGGTACATGTACAGAATATGTTGTCTGCTGTTGGTGCCTATTGTAAAGTGTTCAGCTGTTTCATTAAGTGATGATTGAGAATTGGCTGCATTCAACATGTCCAATAGAGTGCTTTGTATTGTAAATACGTATTAAATTTTGTTTCTTGTCATGACAGTTGTTTATTTGATGATAATCAAATCTGGGCCAGACAATCCATTAAGAGGTATGATGACATCACTCTGGAAATCCATTGGTTGTCATTATCCAGAATCCCCTCGTCTGCTGCCTGAGAGTGAGTGAGTGATTGTGGTTTTACGCCTCTTTTAGCAATATTCCAGCAATATCACGGCAGGGGACACCAGAAATGGGCTTCACACATTGAGCCCATGTAGGGAATCAAACGCGGGTCTTCAGTATGACGAGCAAACGCTTTAACCACAAGGCAACCCGACCGCCCCCTGCAGCCTGAGAAATATGGGTTCACTGGTCCTCAGCATTGGACAACCTTCCACCACATATTAATGTGTGTATGTCTGTAACAGGGTATGTTATTTAACTTGGAGAACAAACACTCCACTCACAATTGTAGTTCCACAGGCTGAGGTGTTCAAAAACAGAAATGTATTTGCCAATTTTGCACACAAAAATAATGACGGAGTAATTTTGTGCAGTAAAACTATTCACTGGGTACAAAACCTTATACTGCTGCTAGTCGATATTTAATGAAAGGTACAGTTGACATACAGATTTGTTTTTGAACGGGTTATTCTTTTGCTTTGGTTCGTAATATTCCCCTTAATGCAATATTTTCCTAAATCTGGTTTTGTGTGTTAGGCATGCAACGTAGGTTCGAGTGCACTAAAATCATGACAAAAAGAACCAGTTTTTTAAACAAATATATTGTAACATTTGAAAACAAAGCAATAAGGCAATAAATAACTCAAATAAAAATGTTTACAAGCATATTGCAGAAACAGACGCAAACCCTAAACATCTTTCCCCGAAGTCATTACCTACTAGTCTGATGCTTTATCTTTTGTACAGATAAAAGAACTAAAACTAAATATTTATCTTGGTATATCGACAACCGGAAACTCAGAAATTCCTATTGACCACCCGTGCTCCTATGGACAGCTGGAGAGCGAAAGGTCGCGTCATACCAAAATACGTTATACTTGCTGTCTGGAGCTGGGCATTTAGATGCTGAAAACAAGGACTTGTCGTCTCGGATTCTGTATATTGTGAATGAGAGTTTAACTGCGGTATGGTATCTCAGTGGGCTAGAACCGAACGATCATAAACAGATAAACATACACGTACTTCGCTAAGTACAATTTTTTTTTTAATTGTGACAAGATCCTTGAGCAATTGTATTTACACGGGGCTTCCCCGAATGACTGTCTTCCAGAACCGAAGGACTACACTACACTACTTTAAAACGGATAGGAATCATGAATAATTTTGGGGATACTTATTAAAAAATGGAGACCGCCTCCGTGGTCTTGTGGTAGAGCGTCCGCCCGGAGAGCGGAAGGTCCGGGGTTCGATCCCCGACCGCGTCATACCAAAAGACGTTAAAAGATGGTACTTGTTGTTACCCTGTCTGGCGCTCGGCATTAAGGGGCTAAAGCAAGGACTGGTCGGCTCGGAGTCAGTATACTGTGTCTGAGTGGGGTATGCATGTTAAAAACTGCGGCATGGTATCTCAGTGAGCTAGCACTATAAATCGGCAAGCAGCCACACAAACACACACACGTACATGCACGTCGCTATATAAGTGCAATAATCTTGGACGCGACGTTAAACCCCATTTCACCTCACCTCACCTATTAAAAAATGTGTGCTCAGTCTACAAAAAAACATCATGTGATGTGATGACTACGGCTGTCATGGTTACAAATTGAGACCAGCATCCATGACAACACATCCAGAACTTGAGAAAAATAAATTATAATTCACTAAGTTGTTTCACACCTTAGACTAGACGCGAAAAAGAAATATTACAAAAGTCATTAGTGTTACCCATCTTCTTATACCCCGTTCACATGCACATTTACCCACATAAGTAATTTTGCACGTGTGTAGCTATACAAGTATGTGTACATGTAAATTTACTATGCGTTCACATGGAAATTAACTTAAGTGTGTAAATAAGGTATGTATTGGTGTAAGGCACAAATATTCATCGTTCTGTTCGCGACTTTGAACATGGAAAGGTTGTTTTCGAATCATGAAAAGAGAGTTACCTTACAGAAATCTTCGCATGAAGTACTACGTGTTTGATTTAATATATACACCGATTTGTGACTTCTTGAGACCTAAGGGCGGTCGGGTAGCCTAGTGGTTAAAGCGTTCGCTCGTCACGCCGAAGACCCGGGTTCGATTCCCGACATGGGTACAATGTGTGAAGCCCATTTCTGGTGTCCCCCGCCGTGATATTGCTGGAATATTGCTACAAGCGGCGTAAAACCATACTCACTCACTCACTCACTCTTGAGACCTAAAGAAAACACCGTTCACCCAGCTGTGGATGTCAGCATAAAAGTTGGTATTGCTGTAGTCTGAATAGCGTCATTTTCAGAATAGAGAACTGTTTACAATTTGTTTGGTGTTGACAAAACAACAGATATATAGTAATTAGATCATCCTCCGACCTTGGCATAAACATTCTCATCACAACACATACATACAGTGCACATTTACATTTGCACTTGCTCCAGACATGATGTAAATTTGCTCCTGGTGTTAATATACATACGTGAGTAAACGCGTTCACATGAAGTATACTTAAGTATGTATATTAACACACGTGTGCAAATATACACACATCTGAGTGAGTGAGTGAGTTGGGTTTAACGCCGCTTATAACTATACCAGTTATAGCGCGGCGTGTCAGCTTAATGTTGGAGGAAAGCCTGAAGTGGTGCAGGTCTCGGACGTTTACCACTTCGGTGAAACCCACGAGCACGGGTATGGTGCTGACAAACCTAGAAACAAAATCAGGGCGAACCGGGATTCGAACCCACAATCATAAGTTTCTGGCATGCCCAAGGGACGCAACTCTGCACAGCGAATCGCGGCGCCTTACACGACTGGGCCACCCGTGCCCCCTGTATAGAGGTGCACGTGAACGGGGTATTAGTTGCGATATAATAGTACTCATATTTTACGGACTGTGTTCTTGATACAGTTTCGGGATAGGCTTAACTTTACGGACACAGAGGCAGATTTATGTTATGTTTTCACATGGGGTAGTTTTGACAACAAATGGGGGCGGTCGGGTAGCCGTGATATTGCGGGAATGTCGCTTAAAGCGGCGTAAAACCATACTCACTCACTCACTTTGACAACAAACACCACATATAGCTTCACGTGACAGGATACATGCTTGGAAAGGACGGATGGGTGGGTCAAAGGTTTGGATACACTAATGTAATGACTAGCATGTGAATGTGGGTTATTTAACATAAAATCTCAAAAACAAAGTATTTCGATACATTGCAGATTATGATAATACTGATGCAGCCCCGAAACCTGGTACTAACATAAGCTGCGCATGGGTGGCACGTGGCGTTAATGTATGTACGATCAGTGATGATTTTATGAGCGCCCTCACTCGGGCGGACCAAAACCTGCACCGTTAGGCTTTTAGTGTGTCTGCATATTTTTGTCGGTACGTCAACCATGGCTCGCTTTCATATTCCTCTGCTAAATTAAGATAGTCTTTAGCATGCACAAACAGCCTTAGACGAGTAATGAACACTCGCCACTCGGTCTGACTCTCTGCGACTTGTTGCAGCAGCGGCGCGGTAGCGCGGCACAGGCGCCCAGCAGTTCCCGCCACGCGGTGGCGGGAATCCGTGGCTTCAGAGCAGACGACACACAGGTCATTTAACAAATTTTCTATTTCGGCTTTGCGCTTCGACTGTAAAGCTTTGAATAACTGAGCTCTAAGAATGTTCTGCTGTTGACTTATAGTTCCCTCAAAGAACATGGTGTCCAGTCTGACCAGGAGGTGCACTCCTCTTCCGCGGACAGACTTGGCAGCATCGTCTCTGCTCTGCAGGATCCGCGGGATGTTCTCCTCCGTGTAAGGCCCGTGCATGCCGCTGTCACTGTCCATGTACCTCAACACCTGAGCTCCCCCGATGCCGATACCGTCCACTCCGGCAAACACGGCGTGTTTGATTTCGTCGAACTTGAAGCCGGCGGAGAAGTATGTGACCAGACCTCGCACGTGAGCCTCATGGTTGAAGGCGAGAGCCTCTTCAAATCCCACCATGTCCTTTGGATGACTGTCACCCTTGCCTCCATCGAGAATCACAACATCAAAACCACCCAATGAAGTTATCTCAAGAGTTCTCATTGCTATATGTTGGTTGTTGACCAGGTGCCTTGGTTTTTCTCGCTCATAGTCGTCAATAATGATCTGGTTGACATTCCAAGCAGCAGAAAGATACTGACTAAAGCGTTCACGACTGACGTGAGCAGTTAGCGCTCTCATGTACCTCACAGCTTGGCTCGTACTCAGTCCGTCCATGCTCACCTTGCACTCGGCAGCTCCGTGATGGAAGACTGCCGTGGCTTCATTAGATACCAGATGAACTGTCTGCCAAAACTGTTCATCAAATTCACCATGTTCAGAGTGTCCTATCGCTGCGCCCGCACAAGCCGAGGTTGGTGCTGCTGACCCCGTGTGTAGGCGCACCTTGGCCAGGCCCAGCAAAGACGGTTGTGTCTGGGCAGGGTGTTCAACAGGCAGACGACTCGGTGTCTCCACGTGGATGATGGTGCCCTGCATCCTCTTCAGATGACGAGTCGTGCCCTGCACGTGCCTCTCGCCTGGATCTGTGAAGGACAGATACGTTTGCGTGTGGGGGCGGAACCCGGGGGAGCCTATGGGCATGTGAGTGGGCAGGTTCAGGCGACATCCTTGAGCCAGTTTGTGGTACGCCAGCTGAAAGGCCAGGTACTCTGAACACGAAGGTTGTCGTTCCCGCCCCCGGATGTCCTGGGCCAACTGGGACATTGTCTGTAGGAAATCAGGCCCATACTTGTTTTTATCCCATGTGAATGTGACGGTGTTCAAGACAAACTGGACCTGAAAAAGGACCATACATGAGATAGTATTTTGTTTAAAATATAGATAAATACCAACTATTATTTCCAACTAAATGATTTTACTCTGTCACAAACATTGTTGCAAAGTGTTGTTTGAAAAATCATATATCTAGACGCATAATTTTCATGACAACATCTGGTTTTGCATTCGTAGCTGATATGAATATCCATACAACCCTCCGAATATCGGCCCCTAATAAATAAGTTCGGTTAAACGCCGCTCTGGGTGCCGTTGTTCAAAACAACCTTAGCGCTACGACTGTCGTTAGTCTATGTTAAGGTTTGTTTGTTTGTTGTTTAACGCCGCACTCAGCAATATTCCAGCTATATGACGGCGGTCTGTAAGTAATCGAGTCTGGACCCGACTATCCAGTGATTGACATCATGATCATCGATCCACGCAATTGGGAAACGATGGTATGCATCAACCAAGTCGGCGAAACTGACCACCCGATCCTGTTAGTCGCCTCTAACGACAAGCATAGTCGCCTTTTACGGCAAGCATGGCTTGCTGAAGACCTATTCTAACCCGGATCTTCACGGGTCCTATGTCGAGGTACCTTAGCGCAAAGATTGCGTTGTACAAAGTATTTTAGTTATGTCACGACATGTCAGCGTCTTTGATACTGGGCCACACGTGCCCCCCCCCCCCCCCCTCCTTCTGTGATAATAATTCTCTAACCTGGTGGGTGATCTCGCCTGGAGTTTCCCTGGGTAAGACCCCCACAAGTGTATGCTCGAGATCCCACTGACGTAGCACCCCGAGGGTGACCCTGAATGCCCTGAAGACGGCGTCTGTGACGAGCTGGGCAGTGGAGGCGAACAGGATCTCCTCGGCGATGGACTTGTAGGTTTCCCGCCTCGTGCTGTCCTGGGGGAAGATGGCCTCGACCTGGTGATTCACGTACGTCCTGAACGCGTCGGCGCCTGCAGGTGTGGTCGTGCTGACTGCATGGACGTAGGCTGAGTGATCGTCCGTGCACGGGGGAGAAGACAGTGCAGCGGACGATGTAGGCTCCGCAACACTTGTCGACATCATAGGGGCGATGGTATGGTTCAACATTTCAGTACTGGAACTGGTAGTCGTTGCCATGTATGTTGGTATGTCTGAGACAGGAACATACTCTCCTTCAAGCGTTTCACAAACAGGTAGATGTCTGGTTAGGAGTGAAATCCGCCTCTCCGTGTTTGGGCGTGGGACAGGAATCGTCACGTTTTCCGGGGTGGAGGGACTGGCATCCCTATGGGGGTCCTCGGTGTGAGTAGGGGAGGGTGACGTTGAAGGCCTCTGTGCATACCCTGGGGGTCGGAGTGTGGCAAGGTCTTGGAGGAGGTCGTGGAGACTGGCGACTGCCACCTGGCGGAGAGTCCCCACACCAGCCGTCACAGTCGCAGGACACTGTATATGGAAGGCGCACGGATTTTTAAAGTTGGTTGGTTGGTTGGTTTGTTATTTAACGCCGCACTCAGCAATATTCCAGCTATATGACGGCGGTCTGTAAATAATCGAGTCTGGACCAGACAACCCAGTGATTAATATCATGAGCATCGACCCACGCAATTTGGACACGATGACATGCATCAACCAAGTCAGCGAGCCTGATCACCCGATCCCGTTAGTCGCCTCTTACGACAAGTATAGTCGCCTTTTACGGCAAGCATGGGTTGCTGAAGACGTATTCTACAGCCGATCTTCACGGGCCTTGATACCCCATACATCACGATACAGTATTTGTGACCACTAAGTGAAGGAATGAGTTTAAGATTTAAGTCACATCGGCAGTATTTCAGCAATATGGTGAGATTAATTTAATTTATCATACCTCCATGTCAGAATGATGAGATCTGATTGGTCAACGCGATCTTAATAAAATATTATGTATCCCGCCTTGGAGGGGAATAAATGTCTCAGCGGGAGAAAAAATCCCTTATACCCCGCCACGAGCAAGGCAGGCTGCGCGTGGATTTCCCAAAACGTCACGTGACATCGAACCAGCTAACCTCCGCTCAATCGAACAGGTGTTTTCTAACAATTTGAATTGGCTTAAATTCTTTTACAATGACATAATATTATTAAAACATATCGGTAAGATAAATTCGTTGTAGCAGGATCACTCGGGTGACATGGGGTATTATTGTGAGTGAGTATGGATTTACGCCGCCTTTAGCAATATTCCAGAATATCACGGAGGGGGACACCAGAAATGGGCTTCACACATTGTACCCATGTCGGGAATCGAACCCGGACCTTTGGCGTGACGAGCGATGTCATTAGCTAGTAGACTACCCCCACCGCCCCGGTATATACATAATAATTTTTGTACATGAATCTTGAAGAACATATAGTTATAGTGATGTGAAATGTTTTGTACCAATTCGTCAGTGAGCACATCATTATCGTCGACGTCTACACGGCAGACGTCGTCTTTGGTGGCCGAGGTTGAGCCGCTCTGTCCGAGGTCTGACCTGCCTACAACACAGTGCATTACGTGAAAGAGCTGCCGTATTTACATACGATAAAAACAAATAATAGTACACCTATGTTCGTTCTAAAGAGGCGACTAACGGGATCGGGTGGTCAGGCTCGCTGACTCAGACGTTTACCACTTCGCTGAAACCCACGTGCACGGGCATGGTGCTGACAAACCTAGAAACATAATCGGGGGCGAACCGGGATTCGAACCCACAATCATAGGTTTCTGGCATGCCCAAGGGACGCAACTCTGCACAGCGAATCGCGGCGCCTCAGACGACTGGGCCACCCGTGCCCCCTATATCGCTTTGAGGATCTCAAGTGGAGATTTCCTATTTACACTTGTCATGTGGGATCTCAAGTGGAGATTTCCTATTTACACTTGTCATGTGGGATACATGTCATCGATACTTTTGATTGGGTTTAAACTTACTTGTATTGAGTTCGCCCCAAATGGACCGCGTTGATAATCTCTGAAAAAGCAATACTGAACTTTAATTCTTCGTTCGTAATATGGTGTCATACAAGACTGATATGTTCTCAGAATTTACCCGAAAATCTTTCCGAAAAAAATAATCAACCCCCTGTTTCACTGAATGTATTTTACATCTGAAATATTAATGAGACCTTCACTTGCAAACTTCGTATTACAAAGAATATAGTTCGTTATTTTTATTTATATATAACAAATAGTAATTGAGCACCCGTTTTTGTTTGGAAAAATAATTGAGCTCTTAAAAAGATACCACTCCCATGAAAATTGAAATGGTATCTCCATAACAGACCAAGACTATATAGATTGCCAACCTGCGTGATATGATAGCAAGCCCATATTGATAACATCGCTCCCAGTCCGACAAGCCCAAATGAGGACAGACACGCCCCGATCAGAGCATACCAACTCGTATATGGCCACACCATGCTCTCAATCTGCAATAATAATAATGATAATAATATAAATAATAGCATCACTGATGATGTAATAATAATAATAACAATATTAATAATAATAATAATAATTATACATTATTATTATTATTAATAATAATAATAATAATAATAATGTATTATTATTTTTATTAATAACAATAATAATTAATGGCGATGTTTTGATAACGGCGATGACAGTGGTGATTACATACATGCTAATTGCTTAAATACAACCACAGAACCGTTGAGCCGGTCTTTGTCTACTCAGTTGCGACTGTCGATTTTACAAGGCTGGCGTTTGATTATCCTGCATGTGATAGTTCATGACAAGAAGGCTTTCCCATGTGGGTGTACAACGCGCACGTCACACGTCAGGTGAAGTTTGGTAACGTCGGTCGCGGAGAGGAGTTGTATGGGTGTCCGTGCAAGGCAGCTCGATCCCTGAGAGTTTCTAGGACGCCCGTCCTGTCCCGCATACAAACACACGTAACACATGTGGTGTCTTTTAAGCAAGTAGCTTTGTTCTAAATATGCCTCTGTAAACCGAGCAGTAAATGGGTACCTGGTAGGAGACGGTAATGTGACTGTTTACCTTCTATAGTGTCTCACATGGTGGTTTGGTTGTAAACTCCCCAGGGAGCTGATAATGAATCCATGTGCACACTGAGCATTGACCGGGGTAATATCAAGTTATAATCCGGTGTAGGCGCATTGAAGCAGTTATCAGTTGGAAAGTCCGCTGTATAACTTCACAATTATTTGATATAATAATGTCAATGATTGTCATCATCTAGAACCAACTAACAGCTTTTACCGGGCGTATTTCCGTCCTTAAAGGCAAACTCCATTCTGTTGGGATAAATACATGCCCCTAGGAATGACACGACGCTAAAAATAGCCGACCAATCAAATTACACTCGTGTATAAAGGGGAATATTCTGCTGGAAGGAGAAATGGAAAAAGTGACGTCACTTCCCAAACGAGGTTATCTTGGCGAATGGGTTCAGGCTATATTTTAGTATAATGAAAACGTAATAAAATTTGTAACTGGTGATGCTGGATATTCTGAAAATAATGTGTTGTAGGTAAAATCTTTTGTTTTATGTTTCAAGCAAATCCCCGTAGTCGGGTAAATTAAACCTATTGAAAATATATGGTGTATGCATGTGGTGAATATAGAGCACAAGATATGTTAATATATGCAATATAAACACGAAGTTACTTAATAATAGAAGTTACTGAATATTAAAATTAATCAGTTATGTTTTATGAATGAATCATTTACACCAACGTAATTCGTTATATCCTGCGGAATAGTTGCACCTGTCTGTCTCCCTGATTACAATTATTAGGGACCGACCAGTCCGAATATATTTGAAAAAAAATTCATGCTTCCGACTGTTGAAAAAAAAAAGATTGCCACAAACATTACATTGTTGCAGGGTGTCTTTTTAAAAAAATAATAATTTCAGGCACATCGATTTCAATAAAAATACATCTGGTTTTGTGGCTATAGCTTTAAAAATATCTAATCTCGAAACTTCATTGTTGTATCAATCTGTATTCACAAGATACCAAACCCAGCTGAATCAAGTACAGAGTATTATTTTAGCGTCACAAATTCAAATAAGAACACTATTTCACTTTGATATCGTAGTGATAAATATGTTAGAAATTGATATACTGTGCTTTATATAAATGGTGCTAACAAACTGTAATGAAGATGAATATTGTAAAGTGTAACAAAGTAGTGAACGTAGAATCAGGAACTTAGTGCATGTGTAGAATAGACATAATATCTTAATGTAGGTATTGGCTATGGAGCTAGCCGGTGTCCCGGAATGACCGGCCGATGACCCGACGAGGTTCGTCAGTCCGGCGGAATAAAGTAGAGAAAATACATCCCCGTGTTGTCGTACTTCCAACCGTACGATATTAATATCAAAATCAATGGCTGGCCCCTTAGCTATAGCTTTAGATGTGGTGTGGTGTGGTGTAACACCAGAAGATGTGCTGGTAGTTTTAATTGTGAAAAAGGATTAACTGGGAGAATTTTATTGAGGATAAATACCAAGTTCAAATACATTGTCCTTCACATACTGATGATAGAAAATACCTGTTTAACAAATGTAACGAGTTGTTAAATAGCTTCGGTACTTTTATAGCAAACGTGCGATTTATTTTATCCAGCACTGAAATGCGTATTTGATAAGTCAAATCCTACTTTAATATACTCCAAACTCCAAACTGTTCATATGTACAATGGTGTTAACATTTTAAGCATATCAGATATAATATTAGAAACAATAGATTACGTCACAGGATGTGTCTATACACTGTATTGCCATGTATGGTGCGTCGGTTCTATGAATAGTATCGAGGTTGGACCATTCGATCCCTGATGATAAGTGTTCAATTAAACTCCGGATTCTTGTGCGCTAATCTAGATAATAAGCAGGGTATGAAACTCCCAAGGACTGGCTACCTGAAATACTTGCCAGCCCTGACCAAAACCCGCCTGCCCACTATAATCATATGTTTCTCAGGATAAGCTAACGGGGTTTCTTTTTGGTTACATTTTATCATTCATCTTTACATGTGAATTAATGCTTATCATCGGGAAATATTTAGAATATTTTCACATATGAAATATAACCCGACCGTCGGGCAGGGGGATTTGAAAATCTGGCAGCCCGGGTTGAAATCAACCCGTCTCGGACGGTCGGGCAGGCAGGTATTTCGAACACTGTAATAAGCCATCGTAGCAATGTAGAAATATGATGATGATGATGATGATGATGATGATGATGATGATGATTACTAATACAAATAATGTTATCGTCAAAAAACTGTTTGTAAAGCCACAATGAGTATAAAAACAGAGCTATCAAGTCAAGTGCGGCGTTAAACAACAAACCAACAGAGCTATCAAGTCAGCCATACATACCGTGCGTCTGTACCTGGTCTAGCAATCCATGGAGCCGAGTTATTGTTTCATGTTCCTTTCATAAACCTATTCATAGGTGTGCCCAGCGTCCAGATTGTTTTTTAGATGCGCCCCCTTTCCGATGGGACGATGGGTTGCTACCGTATTGGATACACATGTGTTTGATTTCTTTCTCCTGACCCCAGCATTTTCTAAAAAAACTGAGATAACACTGATCTGATTGGCTGAGACATTCAATTTTCCGAGAACAGTCCGGGCATGGAGAATGTATTTATTGACATGATGTAAGTTGAAATTCTGTGGTTGTGACCCGCCCTGACATCCGGGTGTAGTGAAAATGCTATTCCGCTCTGGTCCTGGTCCGGTACGATCGTCTTTTCAAAGTTAAACATTGGCGGGATGTTTGCCTTGACATTGCGACAAACGATGTCCTTCACCTTGCTGAAAGCCGACGTGAAACGGTCACGTGTCACAAGTCGCGTCAACCCAAGTCATGTTTGAACAGCAGTGGATAACCAGGAAGACGGCAAGCTTGACAGATTGTTAGCATGTACCACACTGGCAGGGACTGGTTTGTTTGCTTGTTGTTTGACGCCATATTCCAGCTATATGACGCTGGTTTGTACACAATCAGGACCAGACAATCCAGTGATTTAAATTAATTTTGTTAAAGTATAATATTGTGTTGATTATTTCAGATCCCTCCTGAAAGCTTCCAGGTTAAAATATTCAAATTTCATTCTTCTGATGCGAAATTGGCAGGTTTGTCAGCACCATACTGTGTTCGTGGGTTATATCTCTAACATCAAGCTGACGCGTCGTGATATAACTGGAATAATGTTCAAAGCGGCGTAAGGGGCGGTCGGATAGCCGAGTGGTTAAAGCGTTCGCTCGTCACGCCGAAGACCCAGGTTCGATTCCCGACATGGGTACAGTGTGTGAAGCCCATTTCTGGTGTCCCCCGCCGTGATATTGCTGGAATATTGCCAAAAGCGGCGTAAAACCATACTCACTTATTCACTTACTCAAAGCGGCGTTAAACCCAATTCACTCACTCACCCTGATTTCTTTTAAGGGAAACCTGTTAATATCCTGACATTATAGTCGAATATATGTCTGGAGTCTATACTGGTAATGTATGCTTGTGAGTAGTATGTTTCTGTAGCATATAGAAACTGCTTTCTCTTTCGTTCAAACAATAGTGAATATTGTTTAACGCCGCTATATCACGGCGGCCTGTAAATAACACAGTATGTTGATCATGTGACTGAAAGCAGAGACCATATAATAATATATTATATGGTCTCTGCTGAAAGAGCTTTCAGGAAAGATGAGTGAGTATGGTTTTACGCAATATTCCAGCCATATCACGATGGAGGACACCGGAAAATGGGCTTCATACATTGTACCCATGTGGGGAATCGAACCCAGGTCTTCGGCGTGACGAGCCAACGCTTTAACCAGTAGACTACCTCACCGCCCCTCGGGAAAAATGACATGCAATCAGCCAAGTCAGGGAATCTGACCACCCGATCCCCATTTTAATCGGTTTTACAAGTTTATTTGGTTGTTCTTTTAGAGGTCATGTAAAGGATATGATTTTATTTTGTTTGTTTGTGGTTTAACGCCTCACTCACCAATATTACAGCTATATGACGGCGGTCTGTACATAATTGCGTCTCAACCAGGCAATCCGGTGATGGATATAATATGCATCTATCTACGCAGTTGGGATACAATGACATGCATGAACCAAGTCAGCGAGCCTGACCACGTACCCAATCCCGTTCGTCGCCTTTTAGACAAACAGTCGCCCTCACGGCAAGCATGGGTATTCTCAACCCGGATCTTCACAGGTCTCGGGTTTACAACATAGGACTAAGCTCATTGTGACCCGCAATCTCCACGGGGGATATCTTGTGTAATGCCACACTATCTGAGGGCGTCCTGTTAATACCAGTAATCGAAACTCGACCATGCAACCAAATTTACCTTGCCTGACCACCCGATACCTTCAATCGCTTGAGACGATAAGCATATTGGCTTTGCGACCTTATGCTCACACATTTGAACGCTACATTTCGGAGAACTCAGCCTGTTTCTGCGGTTACTCATGCGCAGATACACTGCTCTTGGATCAATTAGGCACGTAGGTAAAAAAGCCTTATAGTGCCACTTTGGTAGCATATTTTAATATTTATTTTTAAATCGAACTTTCATTCAGGATCATTATTCTAATTATTTGTTTATTTTCTCCATATTTCTGGTGTTATTTCTAGTTATTTCGATTATACTATTTTAAAACTCGAAATGTCGAGAAAACAATTGAAATAACGAGAAAATAATTGAAGCAAATAGAAAAAAACTCGTAATTTCGAGAAAATAATTGATATAACGAGAATAAATAAACTCGAAATAACGAGTAAATATTCGAAGTAACGAGAGAAAAAAAATCGTTATTTCGAGAAAATAATTGAACTTACGAGAGAAAATATCATAGTAACGAGAAAGAACTCGAAATTTCGAGTAAATAATTGAATAACGAGACATTTCGATATAAAAGCAATAATGCTACCAAGTGTGACCATTTAGCTTTCTTACGTTGGCGCCGAACAACAGGAATTGGGAATTTTGAGAACAAGTAGACCAAACATGACATGTTATACTAACAGAAACGCATGTACTCATAGACTTTCCAGAAAACATGACATGTTATAATAATAGAAACGCATGTACTCAAAGACTTTCCAGAAAACTATTACAAATAGGCCTTGGCGCCATGGCGACGTGCATCACATGTATAAAGTAGGTATATATGAGCCATAAACAGAGGGTGTAAATAATAATAATAATAATAATAAATGCATTTATGTAGCACCGACAATCACGTAAATGTCTGTCCGCGTGCTGGAAAGCAAACACGTCATGAATTTTCCCAAGTGTTTCCCAGGAAGATAAGTTTTTGGGGAGAGATGTGACCGACTATTGAATTGAAGAGTTAGAAGATTTATCTTATTCGAATGTGCGACTGATGTGACTCATGCTGAATACATTTCGTGACTCACGTCATGATTACCAGATTTAGTCACATGAACGGATCCGTCTATAATAAATCCAATGTCCCTTTCCTTGATTCCTTCTTGTCCTGTAAACTTTTCCATGAACTTCGACCACGTTTGCTGACAAGTTTAGTAACTCACAGAGAGATGGCAATTCTTCTGTTCCTTCATAAGTTAGTGGGCACTACTGCGTTCTATAAAAGAGGATTTGAACCCGAAAGTTAATACTAACACATTAATATGAAAAAAAATATTGAACCCAACTCATTACTCTCCGAGTGTTCAATGCAAGCACGGTATCATTATTTTCACTAAAGCCTAAAACAATTCATAGGATGCCAACGGATACAGGGAATCGAGTAACACTTTATCATTTCATCCCCAGTAACATTTCTTTTCGCGATCGTAACTCCCCATTCGTGACCAATTCGTGTTATTCCGGGACAAGCCGAATAGCGACTCGTGCCCCTCTCAGGGCTATATTTTGCGACCGGGTTCCGTCTCAGGGCAAACGGGCATACCTAAAACAATTGTCAACTCGTTGCGAAATGTTTCACATATATTTCCCCATATATTATATACATTTCAGATGCAATTTAAAGCACATTGGACGTGGGGAATTACACAGTATGATTGAACACATTTAACTGTGTCTTGGGTATATTTTAGATACAAGACATATTCAAAATCAAAAATTATTTAAGATTGCAATTTCCTAATTCCCACGGCGTGTCAACTTAATGCGGGAGGAAAGCCCGAAGTAATGCAGGTCTCAGACGTTAACCACTTCGGTGGAACCAACGAGAACAGGTATGGTGCTGACAAACCTAGGAACATAATCGGGGCGAACCGGGATCCGAACCCACAATCATAGATTTCTGGCGTGCACAAGGGACGCAACTCTGCACAGCGAATCCCGGCGCCTTAGACGACTGGGCCACCCGTGCCCGCTTGATGCCAAGAGGTAGATTGATGCCGAATCGTTTTAGAAAGTTGGGGGCGGTAGGGTAGCCTGGTGGTTTAAGCGTTCGCTCGTCAAGCCGAATTCCCGGGTTCGATTCCCTACATCGGTACAGTGTGCGCGGCCCATTTCTGGTGTATTGCTGGAATATTGCTAAAAGCGGCGTAAAACCATACACACTCCGATCTTGAGGCTTTCCTCCCTAAATAAGCTGCCACGTCGTAATATAAGTGTAATACTATTAAAAGCGTCGTTAAACCGACCCACCCACTCCGATCAGCTATATAATAATACAGCTATATGACGGCGGTCTGTAAATAATCGAGTCTGGACCAGACAATCCAGTGATTGACATCATTAGCATCGATCCACGTAATTGCGACCGATGACATGCATCAACAAAGTCAGCGAGCCTGACCACCCGATCCCGTTAGTCGCCTTTTACGACAAGCATAGTCTCCTTTTACGGCAAGCATGGGTTGCTGAAGACCTATTCTACCCCGGATCTTCACGAGCTCGCGACGCATGAAAGCCCCTATGTAAGTGCACAATCTTAAACGCGACATTAAACCCCATTTCACCTCCCGCTCACCTCACCCGCTCACGATATGCACTTCCTTGCTGACAGGGGCGTGAGGCGTTTGTCGTGACATGCTCGGTGTTAAATTTGAGAACCCTGTCCCTTGTTGACGAGGTCACCTGCACATCCGGGACAGATGCTCACCAGCACATCCGGGACACATGCTTCTTACACGTGTTGACACCGATTGGCTTGATCGAGTTCACTTGTTTTGTTGTTTTTGTTTACGCCGCACATATGAACAATACATGCGGGCGACGTGCCAGTTAACACCGCGGGTATTCCTGGGAAGTATGAGGCTAATGTTTAACCATGTGTTCCGTATGTCATTATACTGATAATTCATTTATTGATATAAAAAAATCGTTTTGTGATATATTAAAACTTGGGAGCGGTCGGTGTGTTTGCTTGGGAGGAAAAACGACATATTTTTTCTATATTTATAAATATGACTTTTATCAACAATCATATTCTCGGAAATTTTTTGGGGGAGGAGGGATATTTGTATGGAGACTAGATGAAAAATTTAGTTACAGAGGCAAAACGACATTTTTTCTATTTAAAACTATGACTTTTTTTCAACAGTCATATTTTCGGACTATTTCACTGATCAATTGGTCGGTCCCTTATCCATATTTACATGTATACCCCGTGATTT